CTCACTTAATTTTTTTTCTAGATCTTGTGTCATTAAATCATTTTCTGTACTTGAATCAGAAAGTTTCTGTTTTAATTCATCTCGTTCCTGCGCCACTAAGCAGAATACTTTAAATAAGTTGCTCTCTTCAAATTCTTGGTTGCCTTCTTCGTTAAGTTGACGCCTAAGCTCGCTTCTCTGTGAATACAAATTCTCATCATCTTCACTAAATGATATGTCACTGAATTGTTTTGTACTTTCTTGTTCCAAAATTTTCTTCTCTTCATTATATTTCGATTCTAATTCACAATGGTTTTCATCCAACTCGAGTATTTTATGTTTTACTTCTTCTTCAACCTGTACTTTTAATAGGTTGCGTTGTTCTTCGAACCCAGTTTCCCCTGGTTTTAAACACTTATCATCATTCTCTTCTATTTTTTCAACATTTTTTTTTGGATAAGCCTGAAAATTTCCAACTTCATCGTTCGCAGTATTTGTTTTAAGATTTTGTTCTTCATTACATTTAATATCTCTTTCCACATGTAAGGCAATCTTTTGATTAAATAAATCCTCATATCTTCTTTGCAGATCGTTTAGATGCTTATTTTTCATTGCCTGCTCTTGAATTTCTTCTATTAAAGTTTCCACATGATTGGTTACGCCTAGCAAAGTTTCATATCCGGCAGCGAGGTCATGATCGCTAGATAGACACTGATCTGTGGGAATAGCCAATTGTTTGTGCTCTTGTTGTAGACATTGCTGTTCGTTTGGTGATTTTTCATAATTATCAAGAAATATTTCTATATCTTCTGCCGAACGCGATCGATCTACGCAATAATTCTTAAGTTCTTCAACAATTATTTCATCATTAATATCTTCACTTCGTGCCTCGTTGATTTTACTCTCCCCGCTCTCTGGTATATTTGCAGGATCCATAGTGATCAATTTTCAATATCTTGCTGATGCTTTTACTCGCTGGTTTCCAGACTTTGTATTGTTGTGCTGTACCAGCAGTTTGGTCTCTCTCTGCGAAACATATTTAAATAAATTTTAAATTAAAAAAAAAGGTTAACAGAAAAGTTTATAGAACGCTAATGACTACAGCAATACCTACAGCTGGCTTGTATTGAAAAAGTCCTTGAAATATTATGATCACTTTCTATTAATATTGTCAAAATATTTGAGACACCCAGGAGGAAACTTCATCGACCTGATAAGTATAAAATTTTGAATCGATCTGTTTGTCTTTCCGACTTTCTGCCTATATAAGTTGTCTGCTAAATGTCTTCCTAGCCGTGAAAATGAAAATACCGGCCTTGAATTTGACAAACACAGTGAAAGGACTGGCCTACAGCGCAACAAAAGTTGACAACACCTTTGTTTTTAAAAGAGGGAAAGATTCTGCGCACTACCCATAAATTGCGCAAAATATAAGGATAGAAAATTTCACATATATGCTATGGGAGATCTTACCATGTGCCTGTGCAAAAAAAAAAAATGGTTCACGCTCATGCAATATTATAGAGTATCGAAGTTTCATTTTCTTCGGATTTTTACTATAAAGATGGTCGTTATAGAAAATTCGGTCATCATGACCCTGGTGAGGAATGCGTAATTAATCTTTTCCTAATTTTCACGAGGGAACGAAAGTGGGACTTTACTCGAAACAATAAACTGAGCTCACTATTCCATATCTTCGCACAGGTATGGAGTTTACGCCTCACTACATGATATATGATCTCTCTCGATGAAAGAACACATCAAATTACGTCACGTTTTTTACGTCATTTTGGGGAGCGCTTTTTTTTGTTTAATTCCAAAAAAGGCCCAGTTTCGCGGTGGATATGCTACGACAGTTCAAAGGACACGATGCTGTCACACATTACATTATAGCAAAGTAGAAGAGTCATAGCTCGAACATTGTGCTGTGATTTGATGGAATAAACGGGAAGTAATATCATTTGCTGCAAACGTAATAACGTAGTAACGTTAGTGAGCGCTAAAACCAGGGTACAATACCATTAGTAAATCGGCTCGAGATATATTGAACTGGACTGTAACTTTTCAAGCACCATTTTTTCTTATAATTACCATTCTTTTCAATCGATAGCTTGTGCACCATTTGAACGGTACGTCCATTCATATTCATTCCTTCGTGGATGTACGCAAAAATTACTTTGTTCGTTCGACGTGAAGTTCTTGCAAAAGTTATGGATCATACGTTACATACAGGACTTTAGAGCGTTTTTTTTCGTAAATTTAATCATTTTTAGGAAATTGACAAAAATTCCATAATATACACTACACTATCTCTCATCCATAATTCCACATGGTTTGTAAAATCGGAAAGTTCACTTTCTTTAGATTTTTCGCCTTATATTGTGAATACAAAATAAACTTCAATGTCTGCTTAATATGTGAGCTGCATTTCTGTTTCTTTTTCTTTCTTTCATGGTTTAATTTTATGATTTTTTTTTTTTAGAAATTCTTAGACATTATTACCGCTTACCTCAAAATTTTATAAAACAGAAATTTATTCTTTATTACGTATCGATTGCAATGGTCGTGAGAAATGAATTTTATTAAAAAGTTTGATTCTTTGTATAATATTGTCTATCAAGCATAATCTCTATATTGGGCGCACTTTATAATGTCTCGAAGGCAAAAAATACTAATTAATTTTTCGAACTTTTTGATCAATTTATTACATTTTTTTAATTACCTAAATTGTAGTAAATTTTGTGCCGCAGATAAGATCAATTTTTTTCTTCTAATCGCTATCTTTATATATTAGAATAGTTCTGCGAACGTGATTAACACGCTTCGAAGTAAGCATTCAATTTCCAATACCCTATATACTACTATAATTAAAAGGCAATGAGAGTTTGATTCTAATGATATAATGCTTGATGGATTTCTAAACCAAGGCCGAAATATTTAGATCGGATTTTGTAAAAGCACGGAGCATTGCTGGTGTGCAAATGTACGCAAAAAGTATGGGTAGACAGGTCGAGAGAGATGGTACATTGTTTTTTCTGAGATAGCAATATTTTTTCTATTTTCAATTCATGAGAAATTGTAAAATCAATCAATAAACCGTAGCCAGTTTTTACAAGGCTTCCGAGTTTATTAACGGACTTTAAATGTAATATTCAGTGAGGTTTAATGTTCGAATACCCTACACTCAGCACTTTGCTTACATATATTTTGGTACACCAAAGTAATTATTTTGAAACCGTAAACTTCTGTTGAACCTTAAATTTACGAGAAACTATCGAACCGCTATACGTTCGAATATTTCGTTTACCACATGACAACAAAAATACGTGACGACTAAGCTCCGAACAGTCCTCAACAATAATCGTCTGATTGCGACATCCACAAAGGCATGACAGGGAGTTCGCCTATGAACGATTTATAGAAGATTGCAGTTGACTAAATATCATCCCCTACCCTTAAGCTGGATTTCTTAAGCGCTATTTATCAATATTCACACTCCTGTCTATATAAATAAAGATAAATATATATGCATATATATATATATCAGATCACTGATTAAATCCCCAATCTGGCACCTTTACGACTAATATTTTAGCAGACACATACATTTTCTGGATAGGATCAGTGGTCAAACGAAATGCGCGACATTCCGACCATATATAATACAAATATATTTCCGAATTTTATGGAACCAACGCTTTTTTAGTTGTTCGACTGAATTTGGAAAATATTATATAAAAATTTATAAATAATGGAAAGTAAGATCTACAGAAACGAAACTCGTTTTCAATCATTCGGTTTTCTAAAATACACTCTATGTGCAATGTTTGTAAGTCACAAAAAACGAAGAAATTTCATGCCAAAATCCGCGCAGAAGTAGTGAGCATGATTGGCGCATGTTTCAAGAAAATAAAAAAATAAAAATATGTGCGATTTATTACGCCTCTGTAGAATAGACTGCGAGTTGTTTTGCCGATTTGATTGAGTTTCTTGTATTTGGCATAGAGCAACGCAAAAATGTTGTGGCCTTTCTACCAAATTGAGCCAAAAGGGAAGAAAACGATCTTGTGATCCAAATGGTTCCCCTCATCACTAGGGAAACGCCAAAAGCATTTAGTGTTCGATTTCACTTCTTAGGTAAACATTAGATTTCTCACACGCAAGTTCAAATCTTTTGCGTCGGAAATGACACCTCTCATTAGCCTAAACAACATTTTTTGAATGGATATGAAACTAACGGGAAAATCTAAATCAAAACTATTGATTTATTATTGGCTATTTGAACACCAGTTAAAGCCTAGGATTTATTCTCGTATCACTACTTTACAATTAAAGTAACATTTGAGGCCCATTAAGCAAAAAAAACTAATCAGTGACATAAAAATTATTTTTACAATTTATTACAATATTTTAAAAAATTTATCGCAATTCAACAATACATTGTTACTTCTAAGATAACATTTTTTTCAATTTTCAATTCATACGAAATAACGAAGTCAATCATAAATGTAAGCGTTTTCCTAAAACCTCCGTTTCAGTCTCAGTCTTTAAATGTAATGGTCAGTGAGGTTTCGATTCCCTACACTCTCAGCACTATGCTTTTCTTTTTTTTTGGGTTCAGAAAAGTAATTATTTTGTTATCCGAAACATCTGGTGAACCTAAAGTTTACGAAAAATTATCGAATCTCTTTACGTTGGAATTTACGTCGTTTTCCACGTGACCGCAAATAATCAAGACCTCCAAGCTCCAAAGTTGAGGTACATATTAAACAAGATCAACTATTTCGTGGCATGAAAAAATTGTAAAGTTCGAGGTAGTTACAAAACGAATTCAAACAGTCGTTGAAAATGCTTAAAAAAACGGTTAGATTGTGGGTTAGATTTTATATCTCCCAACAAATATCATCTGGTTACCCACAAAAGCACACCAACAAGTTCACTTATTACAGATTAAGAAAAAATGTCGAATGAGTCTCACCATTTTAATTGCTTCTCCACTGCTGTCCGACAGCTGGATTTCTCTAGCGCTATATGCCAATATTCACACTCATGTCTACATAAATAAAGATAAACATATATGCAGACATATATCACATCACAGAGTGAACCCTAGTCTGGCACCTTTATGGCAAGCCTTTTAATAGACACACACGATTTCTGGATAGTACCACCTTTCAAGCGAAATGTGCTAATATTTCACGAAATATACATATATTTCCGAATTTTATAGCACTAATGTTTTTGTAGTTGTTCGATTGAATTTACAAAACACTTTGTTAATAATGTGTAAATATTTGCTTGAAGTGCTGGGTATTAGAAATACGCTTCAAAGCCAATCGCTCCTAATCGCACTTAAAGGGTTCTTTATCTTGGAAGTTTATTTTTACTCATAAACATAAAGAATAAACTACACATACATAAACGGACTAAGAGAAATACAATAATTTCGCGGCAACGATAACAATAATTGCATGCAAAGCTAAGTTACAATAAATCGACAGGAAGGTCTACAGAAATTAAGCCCGTTTCCACAAACCACAAACTGCATATACACCATATGCAGCGCTTCTAGGTAAATACAAAACGAAAATATATCATTCCCAAAATCCCCGCAGAAGTAGTCAGCAGGATTGGTGCATGTTTTAAGAAAAAAAAAACAAGGTGCTATGTATTACGCCATTATAGAATAGCCAACCATTTCCATTTTGCGTTTCCTGTACATGGTGTAGAGCAACGCAGAAAGTTATGGCATTTCTAGCAAATTGAGCCAATAGTGAAGAAAACGATCTTTTAATCCAAATGGTTCCGTTCATCACTAGGGAAACACTAAAAGCATATGGTGTTTGAGATCAGTTCCTAGGTAAACATTAGATTTCCCACATGCAAATTTAACCCTTTTGCGTCCGAAATGCCAACTCTCATTAGCCTAATCACCAATTTTTCTCATCAATGTCATGAAGTGTAGTCGGCGTTCCACCTATTTTCAGTTTCTATTCTTGATAAAAACTTGATTAAAAATACAAATGAGTTGCACATGTTGTTCAGACTGAATAGTGAAATCATATGTCAAAGCAGTCGACAGTGAATATCACAATGAGTGAAAAAAAATGGTGCGACCTTGGAAAATGCCTTTTATGAAACAAAAAGAACATGCTTATCGCTTTTGAGTTGCATTGACTTTCTCTTTAGTGTCGGTAAGGGACCTCATCCTCGTTGCAAATTTCAATGAAAGCTTTTTTCAAGGGCGACCAATTCAATTAACATATTAACATTTACCCTCCCATTGAGAACAAAATCATTTTTCAGGAATTGATTTTCATGAATGTTAGCATCAAAAAACAGACCTTATGCGATCAATTTACTATTACGAATCACTTGTCAAGATGAAATATTGAAAATTATACTTTTTATCGTGTAAAGATTCAGTTTTTGGAGGAACGGTTATATGAAACGACGTTCAAAAATTGCCCCAACCGCACACATCGACTTTTTAAAGTATGGCGTTATTTAAGGATTGGTCGAAGAAGAAGACCGATCCCCGCCTCCTTTGCCCAAACACATCAATATACCAAATTTCATCAAAATATCGCAAAGATTACGATCTGTGGGTTAAGCACGTAAGTACATGGACAGACATCAGATGGACAAACGGATAGATAAGCTTAGATCGATTAAAAAAATGATTCGATACGAAAAATGGGGGTGTATGTCAAGCCCTCCTGGATGGGACATACGCCCGTATAAACTTAATATTTCCTGTGCGAAGAGTGGTGAACCAATGTCTGACAGTAAAGAAAAATTCATGTTGATGTCTTTCACAATTTAGCATTTATTACAAATTCCAAAAAAAATAATACAAAATTTATTTGATGGTCCCATAATTCCATCTTACCATTCGTATAAAAAATATTTTATATTATTTTATTATTTATATAATAATTAATATATGTTGCCTTTATTCCTGACATTTATTTAAAATAGATTCTCCTTTGCTAATTAATTTTCATTAAACTCGAAGCAATAGGAAGAAAATAAAATTGAAAAACACGTTTTCGTACATTTAATATGCAAACCTCAACGTTAATCGGGCTTCAAATGTGACTCTTCATGCGACCTTGATTTAAAACTTTATTTTATTTAATATTTAATCTCATTTTTTATGCTCATATGTTGTGCAGGCAGACGTGCTTCGTAAACCCTACGCAAAGTGAAGTGTTCAATTCAGTTTTCCTACGGATTCTAGGAGACTGGAAAATTAGAAAGAAGATCAGAATGTTTTCTTCGTAGCCTCGGCATGATAATGAATTTGAATTTCCACAAAACTCTCACAAAAAAACAATGTAGGGAAAATTAAAAATATTAATTATCCTAATGAGCCTAACCTAAGCAGATTCAACTTTACTGATTCATGGCGAATTGCCTGAATAAACCTAAACGATAATGGACTAAATACCCTTAAACTAATAGGGAAATGCAGCAAATATGCACATTACTTTTTTGTTATGTTGGGCTGGTGCGTTGGGTGCATGGTTCTCAAGAATGCAATCAATTTCGCTTATCAAGCAAAAGTCCTTTTTCCATACGATCCCCTTTCCTTTTGTGCTCATCCACGCTTTCTAATTTTTTTTTTTTTTTTCAACTTCAATGTCTTATGATCATTGCAACTGCTCATCGTCTATTTCGTTGTCGTCACCGATTTCTTCGTCTTGGTGTTGGATCTTTTAGTTCTTGCCTATTCTACTGCTGTTCTGTCTTTGTGGTGTTCTGTCTTGAGTGGTTCTCTTCACCATTTCCTCTTAAATTGTCTAATTGATCTTCCGATTTAGACTTTTACGGCTGCATAGAGTTCGTTTTGTCCTCTAATTCTTCTATTTTTTGATTCTGCGCTTTATTCTCCGATTGTAAACGCTCTATCAACTTACACATATCTTGCGTTGCTATAGCTTGACACAGCTTTTCGCATTTTTCTTTAAGTTTACGGTTTTCCTCAGTGATGTTATGAAGTTTTTTTTCATAAGAATCTCGTTGGCTTTCAGAATCCTTTTTCTCTTTAGAAAGTTTTGCGCTCATTTTTTCTAATTTATTATTTTTTTCAGTTATTTCATAAAGGTTCTGCTCTAATTCCTGTTTCATCTTTTCAAGAGAATCTCGTTCCTTTTTTAAATCTTCTTTCATTTTAGAAACTTTTTCCAAGTCTTCTTCTAATTTAGAAATTCTTTTTTCACGGCTTTGCAAGTCGTCATCGAGTTTTTTGATTTCTGATTGTAAATCGTAAAGATTACTTTTTAATGCTTTTTTGTCTTTCTCTACTGCCTCTTTCTGCTTTTCTAAATTTTTTTTCTCATTCAAAAGTATTGTTACTAACTCCTCCTTTTCTTCCTGTAAAACTTGTAAACGGGTCACATTATCTTCTAATTTTTCTTTTTCACTAATGAGTCCTTCAATTTGATTGCATGTCTCCTTAAGTGAGTCATATTTTTCCCTCAGTTCACTTAGTTTGTTTTCGGTCAAATTCTTCGCTTCAATTGCTTGCCTCAATTCTTCTTCTATAGAGTCTTTCGCTTGTTGAAGACATTTCCTTTCGTTTTCTGTGGTTTGTTTCTCATCAAAATATTTTGCTTTTAATCGATTAAGCTCATCGTCTGAAGTACTTTGTTGTTTTTGTTGTTGATTCTGCAATTGCTGTATAATATGTTTTAAGTTTTCATTTTCATTTTGAAATGCCTTTAGAAAACCCGTTTCTTCTGCCCTTATTTTAGTTAATTCATTAAGCTTTTCTTCCATTAAGCTCTTCTGTAATCGTAAACTTTGGTTTGTTTTTTCAAGTGTCATCATTACATTCCACACCTCATCACCACCTTTGTTGAGTTTACTAAGCTGTTGACTTAATTTGAAAGCATTTTCTGATTGAGATTGAAGTGTTTGCTTCAAATAACTATCGGGATTTCTTTCGTATTGTTTTTCTTCTAAAGTTTTTTTTCTCTCTGCCATCTTTTCTGCAAGAACTCTCTTCAGTTGGCTTTCTTTCTCTTGCAATAACTTTCCTGGTAAAAAACGTTTTTGTTTCAATTCTTCTGATCCTGTCACTTGTGCACACTTATCGTGTAAGTCCTTACATAGGAGTCTTACATAATCTAAAGCAAGTTGCGTCACTTCACTTAATTCACTTTTTCCTGCGCAAAGTTTTTCTAATTGTTGATTTTTATCTTCCAATCTTTTCATTGCTTTCAAAATCTCTTCATTTCCTTGCTTTTTATTTGACTTGGGTTCGCCAATTATGGGAGCGTTACTTTGTAGGGCATGAGGCACTTCTTCCATTTTTCTTTTATTTCATTTGTATTTGAGGGCATACATCGATTCCTGTGGGAGACAATATTTTGACAAGTTTTTATTTAATAAAATTTTAATTTACAATAATTAAAAAGAAATTATTTTTATTACTATGCTAGAAACTCTTATTCTTTTTTTTTTTTTAAGCTTTCAAATAAATATTTGTACCTTTCCTTCTTGACATTGATCATCAGTGGATACACGTGTCATATAATTATGGAACTTACGATTATGATTAAACAAAAAATCTGATCTGACGTTTACATAGGCACAGGAAGAATTCCTCGAAAAGAATGAGAGTAGACTTTAGAACACTTGAATGTGCGATCCTCTCTTCCATTGATTTTGTTAAATGATTTCACTCGAAAACACAAAAGCTTACGTTTCATTTATAGGCATTAAACTACTAATTGTGGTACACAGACATAAAGGGTTTGTTTGACTTTATAATTTGAACAACGAAAAATTAAAGAAATTTGAAAAATGATAATGAAAAAAAAAGAATATTCGCCGTTTAAAGAAGAAGCAATATATGCTTATGCTTAAGCTTGTAGGATTAATTTTTCTCTTTATTTTCTATTATTCCCAATGATCAAACAAAAATGAAATATATCTATCCTGCACTCTCGACTTCATCAAACGCTTTCTCTGAAATTAAAATATACAAGTTTGCACTCTTTACTTAGCACTTAAGAGAGAACAATTTTGCTTGTGCAGCTTTGCTATATTCTTAGCATTTATATGATGAGTATTTGAGATATGTCGTAGAATACATGTCCTAGAAATCATATATTTTCACAAACGTTTCTTCATTAATTGTAATAAATATTAAAACTCCTAATACCACAAATCACAATGACTCCCATTGCTTGTCGCACTTACACTTCAGTTTAATTTGTTGTTTCAATTAAGTCTTTTTTTCTTTTATTGCTTTTCTTATATTCAATGCGATTATATTTCTTTTCCCGCCATCACTGCAAAAACTAGTCAATCACGCGAATTTTTTTGCGAATTTATATTAAAATTTTCGAACATGTTGACTGAATAGATAAGTACCTCCTTTAAGGGAGAGATTAGATAAGTCGCCTGTTTGAAGTTTGTTGTAATTTGCTGACAATTGCAATTTTATTGATTAAGCTTTTACCACTTTCGACATGGATTATCAAGACGATAGTGCTTACTTCCAATTTAGACAATAAAAAACTTGTTAAATGCTTATGTAATGAGTTTAATTGCGGCCGATCGGTAATCATCGGTCGTGCTGGCCCTTTAAAGTCAGATATTGACGTTGTGCAACAATCAATAATGCAAGGTCGAGATATACCGTACCTTGAGATTGAGGCAAACTTATGCATTAGTTCCACCAGTATATATAAAATATTTTATGATCATTTGCTCATGCAAAAGATATTCCTCATTGGAATCCCACCAATTTGATAGAATTTCAAGATGATGCTCGTACCAATTGAAATACAATGTTGGTGCTTCAAAAGATATACAAATGACCGCAACTAGCAATGAATTCTGGTTTTATGACCACGAGCCGGAAAATAAATAGCAATCGAGTCCATGGGTGTTTCAAAGTTAACTAATTCCAACCAATCCGCTCGAAACATTTCTCAGACCTCATTTGTTTCATAGTTAAGGAGACGGCTTGCAAAGCAACAGAGTGCCCCTCTAAATCGAACGTTAAGTTCGGAACCGGCAAGTTCTGTATGGTAGAGTGTCATGACTAAGTTATAAAAATGATTAGGAAATATATATACAAGCGTATATTCAAAGATCGCCTAACAGATAAAACACTTCCTTCTGCTTCTCTCGATGGAAGCAGTTACATTCCCTTAACATGACTCGCTATTTCCAAAAACCTATCAGTAGAAAATCAATACAGAAATAATAGATAATAGATATCTATGCGCAATTAGACGCTCTATAAAAAAATATTTAAACAGATAATATTAAAGCGAAAATCAAATTTCACGTAAGTGCCGCACTTTATAAAGAAATCATAGGTTTCTACAAACACAATTGTAGAATTTAATTCTCTATAACATACAAATCGGGGAATCTGTAAAAGCCATGACGCGGCAGTAGCGAACAAAACAACAAGCGGTGTATATTCGCTTTAATTTGTCTTTACAACCACGATCTTGCAAATATTGAAATAAATTGAAAAACTAAACTTTTCATATTATTGCGGAAGGTGGGGGATTTCATCGATTTTCATATCTATTGTAATTTACGCGTAACGAGCTAGTAAAAATCCAACAAGCAATACTCGCTTGCTCCTTGCAAGGTTCGGTTCATTTCTCAATATCAACCTGCGTGCAGGAACTTCCAATATTTCTGCCAAATTTAAAGCCGATAAGCTCGTTTTTGCGACCAGGAAATTATTTTCCACAGACTTTATACGATTGGCAGACGGACAGACGGACAGATGGACAGATGGACCGAAGAAAAGACGGAGAGATGGACACACGTGCAAAGGGGCATACACAGTTGCATTCTGTGCAAGAATATTTACATATTATGGGAACCCCGAAGCTTCTTTCAGGGTGTTTCAAGCATTTTCACACAGTAAATATAACTTTGCTGATGGCTATAACGTTTTATCCTATTGCGAAAGAAAAAAAAGCAGGAAAACATGGTTTAACATATGCTTGCTTGGCCATTGCGTAAGTAAATAGTTAAGAAGAGCGACTAGCAAGTCGGCATTGTCGGGTTCATTGCCCAGTGGAGTAGAACTTTATTTTAAGTATAATTGGTGAATGATCGTAACTGATCAATCGCCATACGACCTTTTTTTTATTTGTCCAAAAATTGCGCGGATTAGTACAGAATCTTATTTGGGACTCCTGCTAAAGTTTTAAAGCAATCGAATACACGACGGTGTTGAAAAAGAATCGAGAAAAATAGCTTTAAAAAAAAGCCGTTTAAACAATTCAGTATAAGCATCAGTACATCCCATTTACAATGCCTGCACCATATAATGGCAGAATGGCTTCGGAAACTTTTGCATTCTTTACAGAATTGAGATTGCAATGTTTTTCATCTTCAATACTCATCCAGTTTGAAAATATTTAGAATATTTGTAAAAGCGACTTTCTTCTCTCTCTCTCTCTGCGAACTTTTCATATAATTTTAGAAGCTTTTAAGAGCAGATATGTCCTCGATATTTACATGGAAAATTGTTATGATTTCCTTTTACGCGCCAAAGATTTTGAACTAAACATTAACTACATAAAATAAAAATAATTTAATTCTATCGATTTTGTTTTTGCTTTTATTGAATCACGTTAAACATATTGATAATAATAATGAGAGCAATAAAAAAAGTAAAATGAACACAATAACAGAAATCAATCAAGTTATACAATGAAGAGTTTAGATAGAATTTTCACTGCTCCTTTTTTTGTATTCGATTCGTTATAAAATGTAATTTTAAAAATAAAGAAACGCGCCATTCGTCTTAATTAAATTTTTACTTCAAGTTAAAAAAATACAAAATTTTTTAAAACATAATCGTTAAGGTCCATTATTTTGCTAAAATATGTTGACATTTGGAAAAAAATATTGAGATCAAATTAAAGTTCATCGCGATCAAATTTTTGGATTTCGCCACGCTTGAATTCTATCCACGTTTTGGCTATTTGGTATTTCGCTTCAGTGAATTTCAACTTTCTCTAACAAAAAAATAAAATGAAAAATCAATTATAAATTTAAAGCATTTTGCATAAATAAAAAGTTGCATAGGAAATTTATATATGTATGTATATATCTATATAAGCATGCTGTACTGTACCTTTAATGATCGCATACGGTTCGCCTGTAAAATCGACAATGATATATCATAAAGTTCACGAGCCGAACTCTCTTTTTCTTCTAAACTTTGAACCAAGTTTTCTGTGTCCTCACTGCCGGTATGCGAGTCAAGCAGATCTTCTTCACTTTGCAATTCGGCATTGGAGAAATTTAATTTGCAGCGACTCAGCTCTCTTTGGCACTTCGTATGGTCTTCTGTCGAAGGTTTTTGTAAAATAAAGCTTTTGGACTTTGGTAAGTAATTTTTCAATTTAACGTTAATAGCGTTGTTTTGGCTCTGATTTGTCGGCAAAATGGTTTCTACCTCTACTTCTGCACACTCTAGAGAAAGAAATAGAGGCTTTACATTAATTTGAAATTGTTATCGAAGAATTCCTTTTCACTCACCTGTTGTCATTGTGCCCTTGTCATGCTTTATATATGAGTGCCAGCGTCGAATATCATACCCACAAATACGTTCAGATCTCCTATTTGCTCCTAAATTTTTGCTTTGCATGTCTAGTAGTTTTCTTTCTCTCTCTTTAATTTCCTTTATAATCTCTTCCAAGTTTTCTTTTTCCTTTTGCAACTTGATAATCTCCAAATTTTTTTTTCTACTCTCTTCCATAAGAAATGATTTATCATTTTCGAATTCTTGATGTAATCTATTGAATTGTCTCAATTGATTATCCAGCGTTTGTTCCTTGTGATTTAATGTAGATTGCAATGTGCGAGTGCAACGACCTGCTTTATCAAGCAACATATGCAGTTTTGAATTTAGTGCATCATACATTTCTTGCAATTTTGCCTTAGAACCGGATATCATTTCAACTTCCTTTGCAGAATTCTCCAGTTGTTCTTTCAAGTTGCTTTTCTCTAACTGTATGTTTTCATTATGTGCGCATAGAGCTGTTATTACTTTTTCCTTTTCCGATATTGTGCTACATAGATCTGTTATCTTTTTAAGCTGATGTTCCCTTTCGCCTTGTAGAAGCTTTAAATCGTTCTCTCTCAGGCTGTTTAATTGCTCCGTTAAAACGTTAATTTGTTGCGTTAACTGATAATGAGCATCTTGCAATTGCTTCACTAGCTGCTCCTTTTCATTAAATACACGTTGGCCGGCGAATTTTTCTTGTTGAAGAGAATTGATTTGACTCTTTAAGTAATCTATTTCTACGGAGTATTTCGCTTGTAATTGCGTAAGTCTTTCCTCTAGCATAGACCTTTGCTGTTCTTTTAAACAAGCTTCCTGTCTAAGCTTTTCTTCTAAACTTGAGTTTTTGCCGTTCAACTCTTCATTTTCATTGCTCAACGACAACACTTCTTCCGCTCGTTTGTCTTTTTCTTCTTCCAACTTTTTACAATTGGCGCGAAGTAAAAAATACTCTGCACTTAATTGGCAAAATTGTTTATCAAATTTCTCTTTATTTTCGTCGAGTTGAGACTTGAGCAATTGTTTATGTCGCTCCTCTAATTCATGCATTTGCTGTTGTTTTAAATCCTTAGCTTTTTCAAAATTTTCTTTTAAATTTTTAATTTCCCTATCTTTCGATTGAATTTTATTTTCTAGCTGAACATTGTGCCTTTCCTGTGACTGCAAACTGGCATTTTCCTCGGTCAAGGTTTTAAGTGTACCCATCAGATAGTTATTATGCTCACGTATGTTTTTAGATTCATTTTCTAAAATGCTATATTGCTGGGTTAAAGTTGATAGCCTTTCCTTGTTACTCGAATTTTCTGAACTTAACTTATCCAAAGCAGCTTGCAATCGACTCAATTGTTGTTCCTTTTCAGCAATTAATTTATGAAGTCGTTGCTCGGCAACCAACTTCTCATTTTGAATAGAGTTTAACCGTTGTTCAAAGTTTTCTTTCTGCTCTGAAGAACTTGCTCGTAATTGTTTAATTTGCTCTTCACAGTCAATCTTTCGTTGATGGCTTAGACTTTTTAAATTATTCCTTTCATCACCAAGAATTTGATTTTGAGTTTTTAATGAATTGATTTGTTCTTGCAATTTACTTCTGACACCTTCTACAGCAGTGCAATGTGCTCGAAGTGAACAATATTTTTCATTCAAATTGTCTACTTCTTTTCGCCATTCATCCTTTTCGTTACTTGCTTGATGGAGCTGTTCATTGTCTCGTTTCAATTTTTCGTTGTTTTCATCCTCATCTCGCATTCGTTGCTGTAAATGCGTTATTTTTTCTAATAAGCTTTTATTATCGCCATCAAGTTTTTCAATTTGACGTTGATATCTAAACTCACGGTTCTCTAATGATCCTGCATCAGAACGCAAGATGTCTAAATCGGTATTTAAGTGGCAAATATTCTCTTTCAGTTCCCGTCTTTCTGCTTTTAGAGTTTCGTTTTCTGTTAGAAGAGAATCAATCTCTTCTTTAGAAGTATTTTCTTGTTCTCTTTTCTCTTTTAATAAAATATCATTTTCTCTGAATAAGTCATCATATTTCTTTTGTAATTTGTTCAAGTTTTCTTTCTCTTGCAACAGTCTATAAGCATCTTGTAAAATCTCTCTCATACGATTGCACTCTTCTTTCCAAGCTTCACTTTCTGCCAAGTGCTCCCGTTCTTCTTGCAAGCATTTATTTTGCAAGTTCTCGTATTGCTCTTGAATATGACGGAGAACAAATAGCTGCATTTCACTTAGAGGACGCGGTATAGCATTTTGTAATCGCTGATATTCATCTGTCAGCATTTGCATAGCACTACTTGCTTCATTCGAAGACGTCGCAGTAGCCATTATGCCTCTTAATTCTTGCCTCTTTTTTCTTTCTTCCTTTTGCTCAGTCGAAGTAATTGATTTTCACTGAAAGACAAATGTGTAAGTTAAGTAACCATTTCTTGTCAATTAGAAGATTTATTAGGATTTAAAAAAACAAAACAGTTGAACAATTTTATAATTGTTGACTCCAACGCAAGTGCTGTGAATCGAATCTTGTTCAGATACGTTAAGGCGCGATGCAACTCCAAAATCATTTTTTAAAGAGTAACTCCATTAAAAGTGCAAATAGAAACGTCACGCGGAAATTCGTGTCCCCAAGCTATTCACCGCGAATTTTTATACCCTACACCTTTTGTTGTACAGGTGGTAAGATGTATGCAACACTCGTTAGGACTTGGGATAGATCCAGCTTTTAGCAAACCTATTTAAGTTTGTATGTCTTTCTATCCTCTTTGTTTCGTTTTGCTCAATTTTTCAGATGTCTTTTCAACCGCCTCATATATAATATCTTATTTTGCAAAGTCGTTGTATGAATAATATATATCAACTGAAACGGTATGAACAGTGGCCTACTATTGTGTTTTTGATTGTTTGAAAACAATTCGCCTACGACAGAAAAAAACATCACACGTCAGCATTAATCCTGAAGTCAAATTTTACGCACGCACTCTTTGTCGAAACCTAATATCAAGTTTGAACGGAGGTGTACAATCCCACCTTAAAGTATTTCTATGATAGCCAAGACATATCAAATTATAGCCCGACATAGGTTGCCTTCTGCGCTGATTTAAAAATTCCCTCAAACATTGTAGATAATCTCTAAGTTCAATACAAAGACATTTCCTATTATTCCAATTTTTGCGGACAGTTTTCGATTCGTTGGTCGACATGAACGAGAAAGATTATTGTTTGCGAAATTTTTTTTTCCATATGGTTGAAGGAAGAGCACAATAAATTCACCCTAGATTGACTTACTGAGTGATCGTCAAAGTTTTATATCTTTATTGCTTCAAAATTAAATGAGAATATTAGACAATGGAAATGTCGTGTAATTTTCATGTAAGAAAACAACAAGTAAAAACACTACAGTACGGTGTGGCCCACTATTAAATACTCTGCACCAGTTCGCTTAATACTGTTATTCATACAATGGCTTTTCAAAATAATGTGTTATATGAAGCGCAGTCAAGAAAGTGGTCCGTTCCGAACCATTTTGCATAGCGTTCGTGCTTGGGTCAAAAGATTTCAATGCATTATATATCATCAGAATACCTCAAAAACCTCCATCTATACATTGAACACAACTAAACAAGAGGGATAGATGGGCAGATGAGCATAGGTTGTAATAGAAGGTGTGCCTAACTCACGTCCTACTGGTAGCTGCATACATCCGCACAAACTTAATATATCCTTGTAACACTAGTGATATATGGCATAAAAATAGAGATTACAACTCCTCCGTACACAATTTGGACAAATAGGGAGGTAAAATTTATATCATCGACAACATATTCTTAACATTTTCTTCCTTTATAAGAATTCATCGTTTGGCAAGCATTAGTTTTCCTTCAATTTAAATATATTTTCTTTTGGGTAAGAGTTTTTTTAATGAAAGCACAATTCATACATGTTTGTGTGGTAAGGCTTTCGTAAATACCTTTTCGAAAAACTTTCGGTGCACGCTGTGGGTTATGATCTCTTCTTTTTTCAGTAAATTCTTCAACAATCCAGCAAAAATCTCTGCGTGAAAGGAATGCCTCAATTATTTACATTCCACCCAAATGAGCAAAAATATATGTAAGAAGTGCGTTAAAAAAACTCTGCAAAGCATTTATCTTCTGCTATCTAGGGTGGGGAGATTTGTATAACCCAAGACTTAGACAAACTTTAAAAACAGGCAGGCTATGAAAAGGCCACTCATCTACCACTACACGCTCTCACTTAAAACTAATATGATGGAAAAATTTAGTACATCAGTTATCCCGTACATTCTCTACATCGCGTTTCTTCACTCGAAGAAGCGAATCCGAAGAAAAAACTTTACACCAAATACCTTCAAAAATTGCACCATAAGACGGAATGAATGTTTACAAAACCTTTAAATAAATGCGAAGTTCCTTTGGGAAGCTAAGTTAAAGAATAACTAGATTTTACTATTTTTATTTATTTTAATCGTAAGTCACATTTGATGCGACGGTAACAGCTTTTTATTGTTTCAAGGAATTCTTATTTAAGCATTAGTTTTAAAAAAATTAACACAGATTTATGTTCCTCAATTGCAACTGCAAAATGAAGCTATCACTAAGTGGCACAACAAAGATGTTCTACATAACTAATATGAAGGAGAAAGCATCTAACGTTCACATTTTTCGGAAGAGCTTTTACCCATAAAATGACTAAAGCGTTGTATCTATAAGCAGATGAGAAGTGTTTGTGTAGATCCTTTATGCTTATGATTTATTAACCATTGTCATCATCAACTTCATCACACGCATGCAAAAAAATTTCTGTGCATTCCAGGATTCTTTTTGCAAAGTTCACTTTTCTCACCAACAACTCCTTTATTCTCTCTGCAAGGTGCCAATGAAGACTCGCTTTAATTTCTCGTCTTTAGAGTGAAAGTCTATCGTAGTCACAAAACACGTTGGATATAAACGAAAGCCAAAGACGAGTGGATTTGATTTTCCAATGAGTTACACTTTTAACACTTTCATGTCTTCACTCCCAAGCAGATATAATGATTACATTAAAAAAGGATCTGCTTTTTGCAATCAATGCTTGACGACAGCAATCCATTTTGTATGCTAGAAAGCACGCATCGTTGCTTCTAAGGTTTATTGCGGACCTTAGCTTGCAGCGATAGGCGGGTCTGTAAAGAAAAATTGCCTTGTGAGAGATGTCACAAGCATTAAAGCCGATGGTATAGTTTATGGAGAATGCAGCGCTTAGTCTCATTTAGGTTTTGCTTTCATTATTTCTTAATACTGTCGGGTAAGTTTTCTGTTACATACACAGTCTCACAGGTGTCAGGATACTTGAACCGCATTAGATGAGAAAGAATTACGTAATATGACAATAGCTTCATATATATAATAAATTTTGTTTGCTGCGAAATTGGGAACACAAACACCTTCAGCCACTTTTTAAGCGAAAGGGGAGAGCCGTTTTGTCCTCTTCTATAGTGTCTTCGTGATCAAAGTATTTTATTTTCAGCTGATTGAGCTGTTCTTCTAATACACCCCTTGCTAATTCTTCATTCTCAAGCAGTTTTAATTTTTTTCCAATGTTTCCTTCTCTTTGCTAACCAATTGAATTTGTGTCTTCAATAGTAAATTATTATTCCTTATTTCCTCGATCCGTTCATTAGTTTCTCCCTCCGACATGCCATTATGCGAGGGCAAACTTGCATTGACTCGACTGAGTGCTATTATTGTACCAAGGAGATGTGTATTTTCCTCTTGTAAATATTTGAAGTCAAATTCTTCGCCCTTCGTAAGTGGCTGAGTTCTGAAGGTGCAGCCGTTGCATAACATTTCACAAATTTCTTGAACTTCCGTCACATGTTTGTGCGTCTCATCAAGCAGATCAAGCAAATCTGCAACAGATTTCTCGTGTTCGACGGAATGAAACCCTTTTCCTTGTTCACTAGGAATTTTAATTTTACGATTCAGCAAATTAGTGTTTTGATTATACTCTGCCTTTACGTGTCTATCCTTCATCGCTTGGGCAAGCTTTTGCTTTCCTCGCCTCAGTTCTGCCAACTTAGAGTTTTCTTTCTGTGCTGGGCCATGAAAATTCTTTGCATCCTCTTCCAAATTTCCTCTCGCTTGGGAAAGGAATTCAATTTCAATCTCCACTAAGTCGTTTTCTTTTAGTTCTGCATATAGTTCGCCAATTTTCTCTTTCAATTTACTATCCCGCGATTGCAAACTGTTGTCTGTGAGTTAGATCAAAATATTTGTCAAAAACACTTGAAAACTTATTTTTAGAAATAATCCCAATCGATCCTTTTCTACTCCCATGATTACTACGAAAGTAATATGCAGTTGCCACATTATTTTCATTTATTTATTGTGAAGGGAATATTTCGAAAGCAGTTTTTTATGTTGTTGGTGTTCTTAACTAGGTGAATATTATAATGTCAAATAATACGTAAAGTAATCTGCTTGTTGCAACATCTTAAACGATGACAATCGTCTGCATATGAAGTATTTTTCAAGAACATCCTACAACATCTAAAAAAGCACCTGTGAACTTTCCAAAGTTGTAATCAAAGGAATGTACCGAACGAATGTAGCAATCATACTTGCGCGTGGCGCAGAAATAATTATTCATACAGTCATTAAGAAAGAGTGCAGTTTATGGAACCAGTTAGCTCAAAGTCTTTTTAAATATTTAATTTGCTGTAAATTGAAGGAACCATCGAATTACGATCAATATAATGAATTCCGATTTTTAAGAATAACGACCAACGACCAAAACTTACCGATAAATGCAGCGAGTTTAATTTTGTAACCGTTCGTAGCTCGTGACTCCATTATATTTGCCAGCACGCGTATATTCGTTATTCGCGTACGTCTTTTATCTTTCTAAGGCTAACTTTTCACTTTCTAAGGCTAAATATTATAACTTTTAAATGGCTTAATTGAAGAATTATGTAAATTCAAACGACAAAATCTTTGACGTGATTTTTTACATTGATCAATAGTTGTTTTACCGTTCTTTATGTAGACAAACACGGCTCCTTCTTCGTCTAAAAGGAGCTCGAAAGAAGTATTCACATTCTCGCTAAAATTGCATTAGTATTAAACAATTCTAAATAAAATGTCGCAAGGTTTCTTCGAGAGATGTGACACAAGTATGTAATCCCGATTGACATACTCCATGCTCATCCCTGATGATTTTCCTTAATCAGATATCCACTAAGGTCTGCGTTGCCTGAAATGAGACGTAGCGCTCAAAACTGTCTTGTTAACGAAATGTACTGTGTTCCTAAAAGACAGTTTCAAAAAGTGTCCTTATAAACAAAACATGCTCCTTTTGGCTATCCGCCATACTGAATATACCGAAAACATTTATACTGAATCATACCGATCGCCTGCTGGTATTAATACTTCTTGATATCTTGAGTATCGTCTACATTTGAAGAACAAGAATTAATAATTTTCAGCAATTTTTATCAGAAAATTGAAATCCGCTCTGCGACACTCCTAAAGTATACCATTGGGTATGAAATTCCTGATCATTCCCAATCTTCTTTAAAAGCTTCCTTCAATGAAATCAATTGCGCACGTGTACATGGTAATTATACCCGTATATGTGTAATGTATTTTTATCATATTTTTACAAATTTTTCACACATTTAGGTTAAGTGCTTGTGGAGATTGTTTTTCAAAATGAGATTTAATTGTCCAAAGACGCACATAACGACTTTGTGTCTGCGTTTCGATAATAAGCGTATTGATTGCAAGTATGCCTCTATGCTAGATATGCGCACTCTTTTTCTTTTTCTTATTTTCATTTTTTGTTTTTTATACATGGATTTTGATCTTCTCATTATTTTCACTTTATAAAAGTTTTTTCTAATCTTTGACTTAAGTTTTGTAATCGAGAGTCTACTTTATTCGTTTTGGAGCATTTTTGATGAAACTGCTGACGTGTTTTGACCTAAGGACGAAACCCACTGAATATCGATTTGATCGAATCATATTTACAACCACTCCCCACCTTTTAAAAAAGGCGCTACGAAGTGGTTTAATAGATAAAAATACCTGACAGCAATAGTTTAACTTATTTGCTTAACGAAAAAAATATTAAATAGTTTAGAGCTTACCATATGTAACGGAGCTTTACATCTGCTCAATAAAAGTCAACATATCCATAAAAAAATGCAAAAAATGTAATTGTTTTCTTATCGGGCAAAATAAATTAATATTAGACGCCAGTGTTGCTTGGCTTACGCTTACTTATATTGATAAAGAACTCAATATATGAGAGATTTGCTTGGTATGGTTCCAACGATTTTTAATTTTTTTAGATATTATAGAATATTTAGAAATATATAGCGATGTTATGCTCAGTTCACAAACTTTAATGACAAATATGCATAATTTGCAAAGATAGCTACCGTAGGATATAGATTTTAAAAACTTTGGATCTGTCACGCAAGAAATGAATATGTGCAACTTGGATTGCGATGGCTTTTGTAAACGCTTCGGCTGCTGGAATAACCAGCAATACCTTTTCATTCAGCAGATCAAATTTTTAAGCAACGTCTATCCTTCTTTTTTGAAACCGAATGCTAAATTGCTATCTCGACAAGTGGTAATTAACCATCTATCTCTAACTGTATGTTGTTGACATTCCACCTACCGCGAAAATTTATATAAAAATCTTCTCCAAACGATCCTTGAATTTTCCCACATTATAATAATGAATAAAAAAAATATTTGTTATATGACTTTTCGTATATGCAGGTAACTAAAAATAAAAAGTGAACCTTTCCTTTAAATATTTTCATTTTTTTCACTATTTCTCTCTTACATAACGACATATTTCGAAAGTGTTTACTTTTTTCCAGTCCAGATAACCTCAGACCTCACTAGTAATTCATTCATAATTTTAATCGAAACCAAGTGAGCAAACTAATGTTTGAAAGAATTAATGAAAAGTGAGCGAAAAAGCAAAAGTTTTTTTGTTTTCCTTTCAGAAGTCATCAGAAGTCGCCCTTGAATGGCAATGGATAAGCAAAATAACGAACCGTTTGAGTTTCGTTAACAGTTTGTTGCAATTTTTGTCATTATTTATTTTTTTATTTTTTTTTTGTTTATTCAATTAATCTTGTTGGCTTTAGCGCCTAAGTAATGAATGAACAAAATCACTTTTACAACTTTTATTGTTATTGGTTATAAACATGTTAGCCACTTGTGATTATTTAATGCAGATGATGTACGCTCATCGCAATTTTAATTTATTACCGACCAATTTTAAAAGACCGATTATATTTAGAACGAACTCAACTCGCTTGCAAGTATACAAAAGTAATTAAAGGTTGGGCGATCTTTCTATACACAATCCCTCTTATATAAGAGGCTAAAAGCAAGGAGTTCTGTTATCATATGTAAGCAACTCTTGTTCGGCGGCGAATATCTTCTTCTCAAGAGAATAAAGTTGTTGTCCCAGCTCAGATTTTTCTCTTTGGGTGAAAACTTCTAACTACTTTCGAATGTTTTCTAAACATTTCCAATTATCATTAAGTGCTTGAATTCGATGTTTTAATACACTGCCGGCTCCATTCAAGTAACTCTAATGTAATGTGTTCTGAATTTTTTTTTATTTTATTAACATTTACTGTTATTTTAATATTTTCATTTGATTTTAATCGGAGTTTCTCATTTGGTTGACCCAAAGCCGAGAGATTTTCTGATTCAACACTGCATAATTGATCTTGAACGTAATCCAAAAAAATTCGTCGCATTTCACATAAAGATTGCGATTGTTCTTGACAAAATTTCTCGAGCTGTTCATGTTTATCATAAAATATTTTCATAGCTTCGGTGAGTAATTTCCATTCTTTACCGAGAGTCTTTTTGCCAATACCATCATTCACTTGTGCATGTTCCATGATTTTAAATGGATGCTTTTAATATTTTTCACAAACACCTCGACGGTTACCTTTTAGGATTGGTTAGCAATGTCGCGATAGCCGACGTTTTTACTGAAAGATAAATTTTTAAATAAACTTTATTGTATAGATTACGAAGAAAACAAGCGCAAAATATTTATTTGCTTATTTATTATCTTTATGTTTGGTAAACAAAAAACGAAGTCTTTGGCGCTATATAAGACCATATACTTTTTATCAATGGCTCACTTTATTTTAGTTAGTTAATTAAACATTCGAATCTACATATAAAAAACACACCCACTTCTTGCTTCTCACACAGCGACAATTTTTAGGCAATAGTGAGAAAGCACCTGCTCAATGAGTCAACGAACATAAACATCTACAGCTACTCAGCAAATTAAAACTCTTATCACTTGTAAGCTCTTTTAATAAAGATTCCAGTATGTGAAAAAGTCAATCTTCACACAAAGACAAATTACGCGAAGGTGTGCCGGAAGCAGGTTGCGAGAACTCCGTAAGGCATATAAATTCTTGATCACCATTAAATTCTAAACTGAGTATAAGCATGTTCATCTATCTATCCATCTATCTGTCGGTCTGGCTGTGTAATGTCTATCGTAAACATTGCCATGGTTGGAAACGTAAAGCCGTTGGTAATAACGATGGCTACACTTGGTCAAAGCACACGCCCACTGCGCAAACTGGACACATAGATGTTTCTCCAAGCAAAAATTTGTAGTTTTTTTACTTATTACTCGTGCGTTATGAAAGATCGAAAGCTTATATACTCTGTATTCATTTTACGGAGGACCCTACCAGTTGTAAGTGATCAAATTTTTATTTTTTTCACTTTTTTTTCACATTTTCTGTCTATTACTCATAGGAAAAAAATTAAAAATTATTCTGTACACTCCTCGCACGAAAATATCGTATCTGTCTAGAAAGGTAATGGGTACGGTGGGCCCGAAACGCTAAATAGGTTAATTCGAAATTAAATATCGCGCACGTGTCGACTATGGTGGATTAAGTTTAATTTTGTCTCCATAATCCCATTGATATGCCTATCAGAAACGAAGACTTGGAGAGTGGATATAGATAGCATAAAAGTGACGGATATAAAAGATTCGATTGCGACCAAATATTATTTTTTTACTTGGTTTCTAAAGTCAATGTAGAACAATTCCTTTCATGTTCTAAAGTCAATAAAAAATCGTCTTTTCCTTAAGATTTCATTTTCGTATATAAAATCAGGTAAACGCTCAATGCACTGCATTATTAGTAAATATAGACCAAATATAGAATATGAGGAAACTAAATCAGGTGAAGCCTTAAAGGTAATAATAGACTTGTTTTGCTTTAAGTAGTTCTTCATTATTTTACGTATAGGGATTGTATGGAGAATTAAATTTATGCTAAAATATTGTTTGAAATTTCACTGAGAGCAAGTTCTATAGAGACTTTATAAGCTTCTTCTTGAAAGCCGAGAATCTCAATACTTCACATATCTCTAAATCCGTTCCACATTTATGGCACAAAAGGCCTAAGCACCCATTCTTAAGTGAGACAAACTAATCAATCCTTTAAATTTGCTCGATTCGAGCCATCTTCAATAGTGCTTATCCCATAATAAAAGGCAGCCCTTTCGTTGTTTTGAACTTTCAATCAACAACGGGGATATTTTATTCCATCTTTTTACCATCATATGTTATTAAGAAATATGTCTTTTCTCTAAGTGAGAAGAGTAACTAACATGAATCTGTGTTCATATGGAGCGAGAGTTCGCTCAGATTTCCCGTCTTAAACCGCGTCATGTGAAAATTAGGAAACGGTTTCAATACGCTCAAGTTATCTCGTAGTTAGGGGCCCAAACAACCGAAGCGTACGAACGCCATATATAGTCTTTTAGTTATGTAAGGACCATCCATTTGCTTAGTCCATCTCTTCGTGAACCCAAAAAGTGATATGGCTGTAATTGTCACAATACGTTGATTAAATTTTAATCTGGAGCCAAAAACTACCCAAAGATCAGAAAATTTACGAACATTATCCAATACGTAATCCCCAATGTAATAATTAGTAGGCAGCACAACGCGTCACGAGGAAGATAATTTTTTACATTTTTGTTGGTTTAATAACATCCCCTTGTGGGAGCACCACGAAGCAATTCCGTTCAGATCACGTTTTGTTTGTCTTGGCGCCCTTTTGATCGTTAAGTTAATAAGGGATGATATTTTCTTCTCCGAATCGCTAAGTAATGTCGCCTTCAATAGTCCCGGTAGGTATACTCGGCATTATTTACTCATTCGATTGTCGCATTGCAGGACGAATTATGAACTTCATAAACATTTTCATATACTTTGCCGAATGTTCAACGATAGCTGGGATTTGTTTGATGCTACCATAGATTCTTATGAAATTGTAAAAAGTGATGAGGTTGTTGTTGTAATATTACATTCATAGCAAACATAAAAAGAAGAAATAACGGAATGCCTAATTTTCAATACTTCTTGATGAAACTTTCTTCACAATAGTAATGTGACATAAAAATTAACTTTATGGGATTTAGACCACGTAAGTCTATTATTTTTTATCCTACACCATATAAGGACTGCAATCGAAAACAATCCTTTATACGCTAAAAAGCTCTGATTTTTATTATATTATGACGAAATTTGTGGCTTAATAAATTAAACATACAACACCTTAAGTAGCTGCTCTCGGGAACGAGAATGGGAAGAACGAGAAAGAGCATTTGTGTTGGACAGAGCAGTTCTATTGTGTTGAGATTGCAGACTAATAATGAAAGTTAACACAAAACATGTCTGTAACATGTTCCGAGGCTTTTTTTGTACCGCAAATTTTTAAAATGATTTTTAGACTAACATCACTGATTTTCATTCAACAAAAGATTGTGTCTTGTTTTGCTCGGATATTGAACTTTTTCCAATTTTTGCTAACCAAACAAAATTCAATATTTTATAACTCCCTGCACGCCTCTCTGGTTGCAGTTTCTACTGAATTTTCCACCAACATTCTTCTTCTCTTACTAAAATTGCTTATTTAATATATCTTAGTAAATTACTTTTTTTTACAAACTCTTGATCAGCCGATTGCTCAAGTTTTTTTTTTTTTCTCTTCTGCCAACTTAGACTTAGATCATTAAACTTTTTTAAATCGCCCCTCGCAACAGAAGTAAATTCAAATTTTAGTTCCATCAAGTCATTCTTTCTTCACTTCTTCGTTTAGTTTCTTAATTTTCTTCCCCCCAATTTCCCCAATTTGTTATCGCGGGATTGCAAACTTTCATTCGTTTTGCGGAGAATTACTGTTATTTTAAAAGTTTCATTCAACTTTCGTGTAAGCTCTTGAAGCAAAGCAAAATATAGTTTTGATTCAAAATTATTTAATCAGTCTTCCATGTAATCCGCATAAAACGAATTACGTTGCAGGTCATTTAACGACTGCCAGTAGTTTACATCTATCGTTGATAATTTCCATAGCTTGAAAGATTTATTTCTTTTATTTACTCAGATATTCCACGCCAGTCATAGCCTCCACACTTATCTCGTCCATAGAGCAAAACGTTTATTGAAACATTTTGATAGGATTTTTATTATCGTTCAACTAACGATTCTCACTTGAAGGTAAATACTTTATCAAACTTCGGGCCTGATAGAAAAATCACAAAAAGTGACACATTGTGTTAAAACAGTGTGTTTTCAATTCTCGAACAAATATAATGCACTTTGCAATAGAATTTTTTAAAAATAATCTAAATTCTTTATTAACTAATTCGTTTTCTTTTTAACTTTTTGATCAAAGGTATAACTAATATTCACAAGTTTAACTTCCATCTTTCACATCATGGCATTCATTGCAATTTTTATTTTATTTATCGAAAAACTCACTTTTGATTAACGTTTTTAACTTAATTACTTTGACTTACAATTGAACAATTTTCCCGGGAGTTTTAATAATTTGGTAATTAGAGTTTCTTTAAGGCTATGACGGCCCGTATTCCGAATAAGACGACACGATCAAATTCACGGAAATGTACAAATTCGAAATCGCGATTTATTAATGGCTGCTTGAAAACGCACAAGCTTACAATGTATTCTCGTATCGTTGCCGTTACAACTAAAACCACCTTCAACGTCTGCTAAATAAAGAAAACTAATCTGCAGTTATTAAATTGTTTAGCAATTTATAAAAATATTTTACAATCTTATCAAAAAAATTATCACAATTCAACGATACATTGTAAAACTAATCATTGGATCGGTTTTCCTAAGACTTCCCCTTATATTCCATGATGTTAAATGTTATAGTCAGTGAGGTTCAACAACTCAGCGCCCTACAGTCAGGCACCCTAATTTAAAAAATTTTTTCATAATCCTTACCTTCACGAGAAACCATGTGAAAGATTGTTCCAATCTTCGATTTTTCATGGTACATTGTAGAAAATGTCTAGGAGATCCAAGCTCTGTGATCCTTGTTGATAAGAGGTGTGAGATGCACATGTAGATCACGCGCATTACTACAAAGTATCGTTGAAAATGGTAAACGAGTAATTCGCTCATGAAGGCACTTCAGAGAATTTACTTATTTATGATTAATAGAAGATTCAAGTTGATCATGTTTGGTCCTTCTGAACGTCCCTTCACTTCTATTTCTCAAAGTCGTATATAGCAGTGTTGACATATCGATGTTTGCTTAGCCATTATGTACTTTCTCAACTTTCGTATTCATGTGTTTGTGTGGTTGACCAGCCTCTTTGAAGTTAATTTTTAAATAATAATTTATAAATAAGTGGAAAGGGTAGGTAGGTATCAGAAATTCGCTGCAATCATGCTGGCTGCTTCTGCGGGACTTTGGGAATGGAATGTGTTCGCTTTATGTTATTCGCAAGCACAGCATATGGTGTATATTCTAGAAAACCGATAGTTGAAAACGAGTCCCATTTCTGCAGACCTTGTTCCCGATTCCCTGTAACTTAGCTCTGCATGTGATTATTGTTATCGCTATCGTGAAATTATTGTATTTCTCTTAGTACGTTTATGTATATGTAGTTTATTCATTATGTTTATAAGGAAAAACTAACTTTAAAGATCAAGAACACTTTAAGTGCGATTAAGAGCTATAAGTTGGAATTTCTTATACCCAGCAAGCAAATATTTATACATTATTAACAAAGTGTTTTGTGAATTCAGTCGGACAACTTTACTAAAAGTTAGTATCATAAAGTCTGGAAATATTATATATAGGCTGGTACTCTCCACAAAACTTATGAGTCAGTTAAATATATTGGCACAAAGATGTCAGATCGGGGATTTACTCTGTGATGTGTTATACTTATCTATAGTTATATAAATATATGCGCTTGAGGATCCACCGTATGGATGGCGGTGGAGGTTCGACTAAAAGAATGAGACTTAATCGACTACAATCTTCTGTAAGCCCGTAAAAAGTGCCTCCGTGGGTAATCAGATGATATTTGTTGGGGAGTATGAAATCTAAGCCACAATCCAAGAAGATCACAAAACATGTAAATTTTTTAAACATTTCTATGAACATCGAAGTTTATTGAAGTATTTGTCTTCCATTAGAAACTACTTACGTGGACGCTAATAATAAAAAGCCCACCAAAACGCTCTAAAACATCATATAAAAGGAACATTTGGCACAATGGGAGATATAAATGCTGAGACTAATGACTAGCGCGGAAGTTCTGAGCAAAAAAAAAGAAACTGATCTTCCAGACTATGAAAGTTATCCACGATAGATATATTGTCAAGATAGATTGTCAAGAACCATCGCAATCGTTAAATGAACTGCAACGAATTTATATGGAGTATCTACCAGATCGACTAAATAATTTGGGATCAAGAAATTCTTATACTTTATCTCAATCGCTATGAAAAATTCAGAAAAAAGCTAAATGAAAATGTAGAAGTAACACTAACTCTACCTAAACAGTTTGCAATCGCGAGATAACATATTGGAAGAGAAAGTTAGCGAACTAGGTTTTTTCGCCTGCAAACTCTGCTCCTATGAATCATTAGTAGACTAACCAGTTTTATTGCGATTTATAAGACACATTGCAAACACCATCACCCAAGTCATTGCCGAATTGCCAAAGATTTGGCGGTTGTTTGTTTGAAATGTCCATTGCAGTGGAGTTTTTTTTCCATAAGTATACACGATTTTATTAGGGCAAGGTTCAACAGATGATAGATAGGCGGCCTTTCACTCTAACCCGACAGCAGCCTAAGTAGCTTTCCACCAAGCTCACTTCTGCTATGTGCATATCGTACTGTCGTACTTCTTTTGGCTTGTTGTCTCGACAGGTATTGCCTGCCAGTTGCGAGGCAATATAAGCCTAATATAAAGTAACAACGTTGTTGTCTTTCCACACTATCGCTGAAAAGTCCACAAAATCATAGCGAGAAACACTTCTCTCTCAACTTCCCCTAGGAATCGTTGCCTTCATTGCTTACTTCTTGCCGATTGGGCAATCTATTCTGTTGCACAATTCCGACATAATGGATCTTGTGCAATGATGTGTAAAAATTATGAAAAAAAAACACTGTACGATTTTTCCTTTTGGTATCATTCTGACTAACCGTATAATTGGCGACTCCCAAATCTGGCCAATCTGCTAGTGTATTAAATTTGTCTTCTTATCGCGAATACATTTGGAAACGATATACATCTCTCATGAGACGGCATGAAACAAATTGCTTGTAGATCTACTTGTAGGGCTTATTTGGCAAATATTGTTTTCAGAAATGAGTTATTTTTGGTCATTCGTTTGCTGAGAGGCATTGATCTATGGGAACAGATGAAAATATTTTATTTGGATGGTCATCTTATGTATTTGATGATCTCTCAGAAAATGTTTTTCTTAATATGAATTAAAATATCAACTCGTACGAAATTTATGCGAAAATTATTCAGCCACATTGTAATTATTTAATTATTAAAACAACAACACTAATTATGTAATTACTTAAAAAAACTGCAATTTTATGAAAATAGTAACAAGGACGTCACAAAATAATTTGTAGATTGGTGATCATAAATGAGATAGATTTTACTTATGGATGTATTTCTGCATCAAAAAAAATCGGTTTTCTTGCAAAAGTTTATTAGTAGGACATATCAAAATATAAGTATTATTTGTTAGGCTTACTTTGTTTCTACCTTGTTTCTATCAAGCAATTTTTCCGATATGTTTTGATTACTTTTTTATCGTAATTAGACACGTCCGCCGAAATGAAATTGTACTCAGATAGAGCGCCAAGAGTAAAAATTGTCACAGATAAAGACATCACTTGTCTTCGCAAACGATAAAATAGCTTTGGTAAAATTAAAATTTAAAAAAAAAAACACGCAAAGGTTGCTACATAAAGAGATATGAGTTTTTAAACATACAATAGTGATCTACATTACATAAAAAGGTTTTTTGGAAATACTTTGATCCGCGTCTATCTAATCAACGCGAGAAGCACTTATTACATTTTATTTATTGCGACTACGATAACTGTATTGAATTTTTTAATGAAGATCAGGTTCGTTTATCGCAACTTGATGTTGTTATGATGGCAAACATTACGGTGATGTACTACGAACCCGTTAATTTTCGCTACGATCTCCGCCTAATTGCAAATGTAGAAGACTAGTAGCCTACGTCATCCGAATTTTCTATCAATTCTACTAATTCCTACCAATAAAGGACGAAGTTTCGTTTTTACCATTACCCTTTGTTACATTCAAGCGCACTCTATGGAACACCACAAAGCACGTAACACAAGTACTGCGTAAGCGCAAAATTGCGACGCAATTCAGCCATGTGGCAAGCAATGCAGAATTAAACTTAGTGTTCTTGTGGAGAAATCCACTTTAAAAGTAACTTCCAACGGTTTGCAATGTCTTCACACTTCAAAAAATCAAACCAATTTTAATTGAATATTATGTTTAACTCACAGTCTATAGAGGATATAGAACTTATATCCGATACAAATATCTCTTAAAACCGAGCGCGAATACTATTTTAAAAATAATCCTAGTCGACCTATTGGTGCGCCTACAATTAATACGAAAACAATGTGGAAAATGCGTGTAGTTGCTTCTACATTCTTAATGGCGACCTTCGTCCCTTTTATACTTCACATTATGATGTACTCTTCACTAACATCCTATAATAAATAAGAGAGCACGTATGAATTGTCTAAGGTTGTAATCTAGCGAATATGCTAATAAGAACATGGAAGCAAACATTCAAACGATCGTTAAGAGAAAGGATTGTAGAGTACTTTTCTCTGAAAATGGATTGGACTACAACCGTTCCCCTTACAACGCGGTGTTTTAAAAGAGCCCCTTCGAAGCAGTTGATGACAAATGCTTGACTATAGAATTTTAACTTGTTTTCCAAACGAAAATCAAATTAAACAGCTTCACCTTCGTAATTATTAAGCAGAAGTAAAGGTGCGAAGGTGCTTGATAGTTTTTTCACTTGAAAGAGGCATTTATTAGGAAAAATTAATATAATATACGTTAATCGAAATATTTTCCCGCATTTTCTACAATTTTTTTTCCCACCTCTATGATAATACTCGATACTCTGTCGAAAGAACGATATTGGTTTTGGCAGCGATCCACTTGCCAAGCCAAGCATCGATCTGAACAAGCGGCAATCAAAAGGCGCTACTTTTGACAATTCGCCATATTAAATATACTGAAGGCATTCATACTGCAGTGTGCTAGGCTCATGCACTGATCTTAATACTTGTTCGTATCAAATTTCGTCTACATTTCAAAAGAAGGCGAGTTAATAATATTCAACACGTTTGATGAAAAAATTCAAGTCGTCTCTACGGCACTCCCAAAGTATACCATTGGATATGAAATCACCGATCATTCTCAGTCTTCTTTAAAGGCTTCCTTCAATACGTGTACATCTTAACTGCGCCCGCATATGTGTAATGTATTTTTCATCATATTTTTCATGCTTCAAATATTTAGATCTAATACTTGCGGAGATTGTTTTTCAAGGCTAGGCTTAACTATCCAAAGACGCATACAACAATTTTGTGTCTGCATTTCGATGAGATTTCAAATTTAAAAAAACAAAGTCCATTGGACATATTTGGATAGCTACAGGCAGCGACGACTTTGGTAAAGTGAGTAAATCACTTAAGGTTTGAATGAATTTAATAAAAGTTTCGCACAATCATTGCTTACACTAGACAGTAAGTAAGTCAATGATACTTGTGGTAAAGTGTAACCAAATAATACAATGTAAGTGAACTATGTATCAGACCGACGATAATTGACAAAAGGGACCTATAAACACTTTGTTAGCAGTTTTCTTTACATAGCCAAATAAGATAATAGAGATGTCTAGTCCCGTTTAGTCCATACATGGTCACTTAAGTTGTGCAACTCTGAAATTGGAAGCTCTCTTAGAACGAACTCTGGAGTATCCATCGTGTACTTTCGGTATAGTTATATAGTTTACGACTTAAGAACCCTTAGCAGATATGACAAGTCAGGTAGAAGGCACAATATTTTTGTAAATATGCAGAAATTCTATCAGGAACCGAACAATGAAAATGGTCAAAATTTATCATCTCACTAAGAGTACAACCTTGCCGTTCCTTGCCAACGGAGCAATTTTTAGAATTTTTGAGGAAACAGAATAAGCAAAAGTAGGTGGTACTCATCCGAACCGCAACTCCGGCTAGATTTATGGAGTTGTGTAAAAATACCAGTAACTCGAATATTGAATTATTATAAAAATCTGGTCTAATCGTGGACACTGCAGATGACGTTGAAATTTGATACCTTAAAAATAACTTCGCTAATGCTTCTCATTCAAAGCTCTAGACAGACTTACCAATCAGGTAAATCCTTCTTCTTTAGATAAATCCAATGAAATAAATAGATCGAAAAGGCTTTATGTACTTGGTTTATTGTCCACAAATTAAATTATTTTTATTCCTTTAATTAATTCAATGAATTTTTTGAATAGTTTGTATTGCGTCACTTTATTTAGTTGAACATAAGATCTGTGTTGTTATACTCTTCCCATTGGGGAAAAATACTCGATATTATTACCATTTATTCTTTGCCTTTCCTGGATAGATTATAAATGAAGTACACAAGTATAACATAAATACAATGAATATGATGAGTAAAGAAAAGAAAATATATTTTTTCATCGTTACGATACTTTTGCACTTCTTTTCCTTAACTATTTGAAGTTCGTTGTATTGTTCTTGTAGTTTATCCAATCGTTTCTTAAGTACATTTTTTTCATCAACGACCTCTCGTTGTTGTTCCTCGGCTCTTGATAATTCTTGCTTTCGTTGTTTTTCCAAAGTTTTCCTCTCGTTAAAGTGCTTTATTTTTAACTCATTAATTTCTTCTTCTAACTCAGTCCTCTGCCGTTCTTTGGCTTCTATTAGCTGCTTCACTTCGCCTTCCAAAATTTCCTTCTCCAATTCGATTCTTGTCTTTTTCCGGGATAATGTACATTCTTCAATTAAATTAAATATATATTCGTCGAAGCTTGTAATGGCTTTATCAAGTTGATCTTCTGTTGCTTGTTGTTCTTCTCGAAAGGAGTCTAGTTCTTTTTCTAAAACATCTTTTTCCCAAGCATTTTTCGCTTTCATTTTTTTAAGTTTTTTCTCTAACTCTCGTTGTTTTTCTCGTGACTTATTTTCATTTTCTTCTAATTTAATTTTCTCTGCCTCAAGTGAATTGATTTCTTCCACCAGCAACTTGTTTTCTCTGAGTTTTTGATTTAATTCTTTAAGTTTTTGAATTCTTTTCATTTCTTGATAAATTAAACGTAAAAGATTTCCTTCTTTCTTCTTCTAGTGCCCAACCGAACTCTCCTGCTCAATATTCGTCGTTTTCAAGGTCTATCATTTATTTAACGTATCCACAGTTTGGGTGTCCACCATGAACGGTTGCGGTAGCTCCAAAGATTGTGGAAATTTCAATTTGCAATTATCTGATCATTAATCTTTATAAATTTTCGTTCTTCGGATCACTTCCCGGAGTTCTTTATTATCCTCGTAGGAAACGTTGGTCGCTGAAAGATGAATACTTAAATAAATTTTGAAGCTCATAAGAGGGGAAAAGAGGGTTATTTTCAATCCTTAAAAACTAAACAAATCTAATGATTTTTCGTTTGCGAAGTAAACCTATCTATCTGTCTGTCCGTCCAATGTGGTCCATGTTTTATTGAACATGCAAGTCGCAATTTTTGAGATATTTTGATGAAAGTTGATAGAGTTTTGTCCTGCCTCAAGGACGAACGCTATTGAAAATGGTTCCCATCGGACCATTTTTTCGACCACTTCCCATTTAACGCCTTATTTTGACAAGTCGATATACGGATAGCTATAGAGTGGTGTAGGATATTTAATGGTGTACCGTGCCCCATTGTAGTGTTTATACCCTATAAATGGAGAGAAGCTTTCTCATCCTCGTCACTAAAAAGGTCGATTGTTTAGTCTCGAATTCGTCTTTGCCATTTGTAAAGGTTAACTTTCACTCTCAACGCAAACCTTAGACGAACCAATGTAAATCCACAGGGTGGTATATTATCTTCATTGTTCTGTTGCCGTTTTTATTTCACACACAGAAACGCACCTTTATTTAGCGCTTATCATTTGTTTTTCAAAAGGTTGAAGTTTCATTCACTAAACTCAGAAATTTATTCTGTTTGGGTTTCTTTACAAAACAAAAACAAACTCAGCTGTCGGAAGCCTGGATCACGAATTAGGCGGGAAAACACAAATCCGCAATAGCGATATATTAATAGCTACTTAAAAGCATATCACATATTCAATATATTCTCATATCGTTACTATTACTAACTAAACTACAACTAAAGCGACATTCAACGTCTACTAAGTAAAGAAAACTAATCAGTAGTATATGAATTATTTTTGTAATTTGTTACAATATTTTACAGTTTTTTTTTTTTTTAAAAATTTATCACAATTCAAGAATACATTGTTTTCTCTAAGATAACGTTTTCTTTTTGTTTGCAATTCATGCGAAATTCTGAATTCAATCCATGAATGTAATCGGTTTTCATAGGACTTCCGTTTTTACCCTTCACTATTACACGTTATAGTCAGTAAGGTGTAATAATTCATCAATGCCCTACATTCAGCGCTGTGCTTGCCTAATATGTGGACCTCGAATTTTTAACATTGCCAGAAACGATCTGCCCGTTGCTTCGATTTCTCCTAGAACATGATGGGAAATGTCTTTAGGTGCCGAAGTGTTTGAGAATTGAAATAAGTTTCTTGATAAAAGGCATAGTAAGCAAGACCAGTTACTCCATGAAATGAAACATTTAGAAGCGGTCCTAATTACAATATGGACTTAAAAATTCTTTGAGAATATTTAAGCGAGTGTGTCGAATGTGGGCTAAATTTAGTGTTCGCCATCAAAAAACACCTACATTCCAACAGTTAAAGAACCATATCGAAGGCTTCAAATATCTTTGATGAATAAGATTCTATGATGAGAAAGTTTTATCCGTTTGACTACATTTTCATTGCTGTGTTTAGCAATGAACAGTACGGGTTTTTCAATATTCACTAACATCATTATTCATCTACTGATCAACAAAATATAAAAATGCATCTGCATTAAAATTATTCATTTATTGAAATGAGCGGAAAAAATGACAGCAAGTATTGTCAAAATCAGGCCTTAGTACAGTCCACTCAAGCTAACACTCGATCTTTTCTTATCTACGTCGTATATAGCGTTCGCAAAAAACACCTATTTAATTGTCATGCTTTGTCCCTACTTCCAAAAAAATAACAAAACGTGTATAATCCTGTGGAAAATAATTTTTCTAGTTTTGCTGATGTTATTGCATTTTCAATATCCGATTTTATCAAACGCAGCAATTTTGTTGCATTTTTATGGAACTGACTGAAACTCACTGAGAACTCCCCAAAAGCGTTTCTCGTTCTATTTTAGTTCCTAAGTCCACGTTACGTTCTGTCCACGAATATTCAAGTCTTTGAAAATAAAAATGCATGATCTTATTAATCTGAACGGCAAACCTTCGCATAGAATGGAAAAAAAGAGCGTTTCTCAAGTCTGGTTTAAACATCGAAATTGATAAACGTTAGCAGTTTCTTGCAACGGTTCAGAACATAGAATAAATCGAGGACTTTGACGATATGAAGTCTCAGAACAAGACTGAGCAAATGTAAAACTAGGCGAAAGAATTAATATTCGCAAAACAATATTATACAGGGAGAGTTCTTCTTGAATAAGGTCTTAACTTCCTCTTCACACGCAAATAATACCAAATAGTTTGCTGTGATCAAATAGACCTATATGTTTATTAAATAAATACAATGACAAAAAATTGTATACAAAATTTAAAAATATAATTTTTTATAAAGTAATTTTTTCTATTTATCTCTTTATTTTTGATATGTCTAGAGATGTTCTAATACGTTTCTGATCTTTTAGCATATAATTACGCTGGCTTTTAATCAATCGTCGAAATTTGTCTAAAGTTTTCTACACGCTTTAAATTTTTTTCTAAATTTGCCTGATTTTCGTTCAATAGTTCAATTTGATATTCGACCCGCTCTACTTGCTCTTGTTGCACAGATATGCGTCTGTCTAGTTCGACGATCCTATGCTCTGCCCTACATTGTCTCCAAAACATATCACTCCATTCGCGATTTATTTCATTTACTTCCTTTTCAACTTCACGTATATCTTGTTCTACTTTCTCTTTATTTTCTTGTACTTCACCTTTCATGGTAATACAACCGTTTCTGTAAAAGGCTATCGTTTCTTCACATTTTTGACATAACATATCGTCTGGGGTGTCATGTATTGGTTTTAATTTTGTTTGGATTTCTTCCAACATCTCCTGCTTGGCCTCCAAGAGGTCGATTTTGAGTCTTAGTGATTCCTGCTCTTTCTCTTTTTTGAATAAAACGTGCCGTTTCTCGCTGTCAGTAGAATTAAGTTTGTCTAGTTTCGGTCGAAGTTCAATCAATTCTTCTTCAAGTTTACCTCTTTCGACAACATTATCGCTAATTCCTTTCTTTAACTCCTGCCGTTGTTTTTCTAAATTTTCTATCTGCTAAAAAATATTTGATTTGAACTCTCTTCAACTTTCTTCTAATTCAGAATTTTGTAGGTGTTTTAAATGTTCTAATTCTTTTAGGCTTTCTTCCATTTTTGCCTTCTCATCGTTAAGAGTTTGGATTTGATTTTCCAATAAACTCTGGATATCTTCTTTCTCTTTATAAGACGCCTCTAATAGGACATATTCTTCCTTTAAATTCATCAACTGTTCGTAATATTTGCGTTTTTCCTCAATGACTGCAACGAGTTTTTTTTCTATCATTTGCTTTTCTTCTTGAAGACAATTTAGTTCCTCTTCTAAAGCTTTCTTTTCCTTACTGTACTTTTCTTTCAGTTCCCTTAGCTCACGTTCTAGCGTCAATTTTTCTTGCAATTGATGTACTGACGGATTTTGATTTTTTTCTAAATTTAGGTGATCCGTTTCAAGCAATTGGATTTTTTCCTTTAGTAGTTCGTTTTCTTTAACTTTCTCTCTTAATTCATTTGATTTCTCTTCCAACTTAGTCTTCTGCAACTGCAAATCTTCAATTTTTTCATTTTTCATTTTAATATTTTCACTAAGTGTTTCTATCGATCCTCTTGTTTAAATTCACTTCCTTTAGATTTTTTCACCTGCAAAGCATATTTTTTTTTCCATATTGTCAAAATTTTCTTGCAACTGTTTCATTTGCTTCTCCAATTGATCAACTCTATTATCTTTAAATAAAGTTTGTCCGACAATCGCAGTTCCATCCAGTTTGTTGGTTTAGGTTCCATGATTTCAAATTAATTGTTTCTAATATTTTTTTACTTGCATACATTTAACTGTTTCGTCAGTTACCACCTTTTAAGTGGCTGCCGTTTTCACTGGAAATATATTCAAATAAATTTTTGATAGAAATTTAAATTTAAACAAAGAAAATTCTATTTGAAAGGGAGTATTTTATATTTTTGGATTGAATAGAAGTCTTGGGCTCAATGGCATACAAGTTTTTAGACACTTAAGTGTTATGTCCTAATGCTACAAGAGCACACTAGGTTTCTGCGGCTGTATGCAAAATCCAGAAATGTGTGAAGTAGACCCAGACCGAACTTTTGTCATATGGATTGATTCAGCATCAGAATCAGAATTGACGTTATTCTATAATTAGTTTATGTGTTATTCTATAATTAGTTTATGTGATTTTGTTATGTTACTTTGTCGTAGGATATGCCCGCGCAACTCTCATTAAGTCCTTGGAAAATTATCAGAAAATTAATCTAACCAATGCGCTGAACATTCTAAAATATGGGGAAACCTTCTTGAACAGAAAAAAATTTAACTTGATACATCGAGCATACCTCTCAGCATTTCGGAAAAAACTACTCTATACGAAATACGTTTGTCCTGGAAAGTTACAGCCTGAAGACGTATCTGTTCATTTGTAACTTCTCTAACGCACTAAGAGATAAATTTACCAAGAGCTTGTCTCGGTTCAAAAGCAATTCCAAATAAAATTATGTTATCGTACTCTAATTTCCTGGGGATATGAAGCTGAATGGATTCGAAAGTTGTTAATGCTTCTGCCCAAAAATTAAAGGTTTAGAATGAAATTATTGGAATTTATTATGAGTTCAGCTGTAGCATTACAAATTTACTTTCCTCGAGATTTTGTATTTGACACGTTCAACGTAAGCAACACGCTAGCATAATAAATAGAACTGGAAAGAACATTTTTGTTGGAAGGAGCAGTTCTATTGTGTCAAAATTGCAGTCTAATAATGAAAGTTAACACAAAACATGTCTGTAACATGTTTCAAGGCTTTTCTCGAAGCGCAATTTTTTAAAATTGCTTGTAATCTAACTTCGCTGATTTTCATTCTTTTCATTCAATGGTTTTTATAATATCTTAAAAATAACATTTTAAAGGGATAAATCAATTTAAGCCTTATTCATTAACAAAAGGTAATTTTTGGTTTTGCTCGAATATTGAACTTTTTCAAATATTCGTTAACCAAACAGAATTCAATATTTCATAACTCTCTGCACGATTTTCTGGTTGTAGTTTCCACTGAATTTTCCACTAAAATTTTTCTTCTCTTACTGAGATCGTTTATTGTACATCTCAGTAAATTACTTTTTTGTACAAACTCTTGATCAGCCGATTGCTCAAGTTTTTTTTTTTTCTCTTCTGCCAACATAGACTCCTGTTTTTCTCTTAGATCATTAAACTTTTTTAAATCGCCCCTCGCAACAGAAGTAAATTCAATTTTTAGTTCCATTAAGTCATTGTTTCTTCTCTTCTTCATTTAGTTTCTTAATTTTCTTCCCCCCAATTTCCCCAATTTGTTATCGCGGGATTGCAAACTTTCATTCGTTTTGCGGAGAATTACTGTTATTTTAAAAGTTTCATTCAACTTTCGTGTAAGCTCTTGAAGCAAAGCAAAATATAGTTTTGATTCAAAATTATTTAATCAGTCTTCCATGTAATCCGCATAAAACGAATTACGTTGCAGGTCATTTAACGACTGCCAGTAGTTTACATCTATCGTTGATAATTTCCATAGCTTGAAAGATTTATTTCTTTTATTTACTCAGATATTCCACGCCAGTCATAGCCTCCACACTTATCTCGTCCATAGAGCAAAACGTTTATTGAAACATTTTGATAGGATTTTTATTATCGTTCAACTAAAGATTCTCACTTGAAGGTAAACTTCGGGGCTGATAGAAAAATCACAAAAAGTGACACATTGTGTTAAAACAGTGTGTTTTCAATTCTCGAACAAATATAATGCATTTTGCAATAGAATTTTTTAAAAATAATCTGAATTCTTTATTAACTAAGTATAACTGATGTTCACAAGTTTAACTTTCATCTTTCACATCATGGCATTCATTGCAGTTTTTATTTTTTTTATCGAAAAACTCACTTTTGATTAACGTTTTTAACTTAATTACTTTGACTTACAAATGAATACTTTTCCCGGGAGTTTTAATAATTTGGTAATTAGAGTTTCTTTAAGGCTATGACGGCCCGTATTCCGAATAAGACAACACGATCAAATTCACGGAAATGTACAAATTCGAAATTTATTAATGGCTGCTTGAAAACGCACAAGCTTACAATGTATTCTCGTTACCGTTACAACCAAACCCGTCTTTCACGTCTACTAAACAGAGAAAACTAATCGGCAGTTATTGAGTTGTTTAGCAATTTACAAAAACATTCTACAATCTTATCAAAAAAATTATCACAATTGAAAAATGCATTGTAAAGTCAATCAATAAACGTGATGAGTTTTGATAAGACTTTCCCTTTCACTCCAAGACGTTAAACGTTATAGTCAGTGAGGTTCAGCGGCTCGACGCCCTACAGTCAAGGACATTAATTTAACTAATTTTCTCATAGTCCTTAACTTTACGAGAAAGGGTGTGCGAGATTATTCCGATCTTTAGTTTTTCATAGAACATAATAGACAATATCTAGCAGCTTCAAGCTATGTCGATAAGAGATGTGAAGTGTTCGTGCAGAGCAACTATTTCATGATACGAAAAAATTGCGAAGTGCGCTTTGATTACAAAATATCGTTGAAAATGGTAAACAACTAATTCATTCACTTCATGCACTTCAGAGAGGTTCGCTTGTTCATAATTAATAGAAGATTCTAGCTGATCAGGTTTGATCCTTCTGATTATATCAGTATCACATTCATAGCTTGGAGACTGCACTCTTGAGGCCTACTCTAAAACCAACTTAGATTTTTTGCTATCAAATTCACACGATTGGCTTTTGATACAACCCAGAGTACAATTGTAGATATACGTACATGAAAACATAGTTTCAGATTAAAAACAACACCCAGGTCTGTAAAATATGACGCATTTTCTTTGGCGTGTCCATGGATATTATATGAGCAGACCTACAGGCAGACCTCTAAAAGATGTCAATTTCTCGCATTTACGTAGATTAAGGGGTATGAGACGTACTGTGCTTCTAACGTTTCCAAACCTTGCTTTAGGCTCCGACCTCTCGTACCGAATTAATGGGACAATATCACATCATAAACATAAGTGTTGAGCCAACGGTGACGGACCCTCTGAAGTGCAATGGGACACAGTGCCTACTCTGTGGGACTTCAGATGAAATTATAATTAGCAAAATTGTAAGCTCACCTCCTTTAATTATGACTACCGACTCATAAGCACTTTCTGAACTAATTTAAGCTTGTCTGTCCGTCTTGTAATTCTTGGTGCTGAATCTACAGATCGCCGTTTTTGAGATACCTTGACGAAATTTGGTACATCGACCTGTTTTGATCCAGAAACGCATGCTATTGAAAATGGTTCAAATTGAAGCACTTTTCGACCTCTTCTCACATAACGGCCGACTTTGAAAAATCGTTCCAAAGAATATCTTTAGGGTTATGTAGTATGGCTATATTTTAGGGCTACCGGGCCCCACTATAATGCTTTCACTTGTTTAATATTAAAAACATTTGATGTACATAATTGGATTATATGCGCATTAGCTGTAAGTCATTTGGCTAAAAACGAAAAAGACTACTCTTGAGTTCATTAAACATTAGCCTAAGTATTTCATTACAAGGGTTTGCCCATAAATTTTCTTTAATAATATACATTATTATGGCAAATACACTCTTATAATCAATGAGAAAATGCCACAAGGACGGATGGACTGATCATGACGTATAGTCTTCAAACACAGTTAACTGATTAATCATGGATGAAATCTTAAACTAATGTAGTAGTCTTGCTTACGCACACTACAAATTGTTGTTACAGATCTTTCCTTGGTTCGGCGTCTTTCGTTCGTAGGCAGCAAACAATCCATCAAGCACTTTTTTCACACTGCACTGATATTCTTTTTATATATCAATAATTTTTACAACTTTTTACTTTTTTTCTTTTCAATTTTCAATGGCAATCTAATCTAATAAAATGCTCACGACTATTCTGTAGTGCACTACGAAAACCAATTTCACTGTGGGGGTCCTTTACTGCGCTTCCAGTGCAAAAGTTTATTATAATTTTTATTACAATTGCAGGCGTTATCTTCATTATCATAAAACGTCAAATTGTTAAACAAAAATTTCTTGATTTGATATATTAAACGTTAATAGGTTTGCGTACACCCAACTCTTTTTTTAATAACATTGTAATGATATGGTTCGCCAAATAAGAACAAATACACTTTCTTACATCAATGTTTGTATCCATCATCGAAAGACGGGGGTGTATCCATTTTGTGAAAACTCTTGCAGTGGCCAGAAAGCAAAATCAGAGACCCCATAAACTATATATATTCTTGATCACCACCAAATTCTGAATCGATGTAAGCATGTCCATCTGCTTGCTTGACTATCTATCCGTCTGTCAAAAGTCTGTTGTAAACCCTTTCCTGACCACAAAAATAGAGCTTTCACGCCGGTAAGTATTGCAAATGAGCAAAATCAGTCGAAAGACACGCTAATAGTAGTACGTAAAACGGCGATATCCTTGTTTTCAAAGGGAATAAAAAATGTTTTTTTTGCTCACGAATCAAATTATAACAGATAAATCTACATGTATGGAAAAAATCGGCCACGCCTATTCAATTTTGTATTGTGTCATAATTTAATTTTCCTTTTATCACCAACGATATCACAAATATTCCGTTGTACACGAAACGAAAGAGCAGCCTAACTCGATGCCAAATGCGATCATATCGTTTTTGCCTTTCGTGTCATATGAGAATCGTAAACCGATTTTTTCCAACACTTGAGCACACATTTTTTTAATAATTTCACTTAATTACTTTTAACTATAATTGATTTTCAGAAAGTTTCTGGTTAATCGGTATCGTAAAATATTTTAATAATTTTTAATAATTGTTCATATCTTATTTTTCCTTTGTAGAGACTAAAGCGAATATTGTAGAAAATTTCTTACACTTCTTTTCACTTGCTGCTCAAATGACCGCCCTCTGTAAAGTAATACCAAACGGTACAAGCCTTAGCCCTTAGCTGAAAGCCTTGAAACCAATAGACGCCTACAAATCCAGGGTTGTAATTGATGAAGTTCTACTGCGGCAGTCTCTTCTTAAAATTGCTGCTGCAAATAGTGCCTCGTATACCGTCTTATAATTGCAAACAACTAATCGATTGTGTAAACTTCGCTAACTAATCTATTAAACATTTCTTACAATGCTTTTGAAAAATTATCGCAAAAGACTACGACTTTCGCCAGCGATTAGTGATGTATTCACTTTGTCAAAACGTTTGCAACAAGCAGAAACAAGCTGCGAGGACTCCATAAAACATATACCTCCTTGATCAGCATTAAATTCTAAACGGAGTATAAGAATCTTTGTCTGTCCATCCATCTGTCTATCGTAAACATTGCCCTGATTGGAAAAATGAAGTTATTGCGGGTATTGAAGATGGAACGAATTGGTGAAAGCACGCGCCCACAGTAAAGCGTAAAAGGGGACACAAAGATGTTTCTCCAAGCAAAAATTTATGATTTTATTGCTTATTACTAATAATTTATGAAAGACGGAGACTTGAAATTCTCTATATTTATTTTATGAAGGAGCCCAGTAATTATAAGCGATCATATTTTTCACGTTTTCTGTTTATTACTCATAAGGTAAACACGACTAAATATTGAAAATTGTTCGGAAAAAATATTAGCTGTCTCAAAAAATAAATATAATGGACCCCACAACATGAACGATTCGTTTTTTCTTAGCAGTATAACTATTTGGTCATCAAATAAAAAGGATTGCCGAGTAAAATGCCATAGGCCAACTGAATTAATTCCAAATTAAATAACACCGGCAAAGCGGATTAAATTTTTCTTCAAAATCACATCGATAGAGGTGCCAAATAGTGAAACTTGGAGAGTAGATATAGATAGGATAGTAGTAACGGATATAAACGATTCGGTCGCGACCGAATATAATTTTCTTACCTATTTTCTAAAGTCAGTTTATAGCAATTGTCTTTACAATTCACCTTTTTACATTGCTGTAGAATGCAAAAGTGCTTTAGTGATTTATTACTACAATTATAATTGGGAATGAGATTAGATAAAGCCTTAAAAGTAACAATGGACTTATGTTTTGCATTAAGCAGTTCTTGCGAATTTTATAAATAGGGTTCGCATACAAAATTAAGTTTATGCTAAAATATTGTTAAAAATTTTGCTGAGAGCAAGTTCTAGAACAACTTTAAAAGTTTCTTCTCGAAAGCGGTCGTTACTTTTTAAACGAATCGCCATAGGTGATCTATTTCGAAATCCCTTGAACATTTGTAACAAAAAAAGTCATTTTAAGTGAACTATTTTAATATAAATGAATTCTAACAAAGAATACCGAAATATCCTACAAATCCATAAAACTAATCAATTCTTTGAATTTCTTTTACAATTCGTTAAATTTTGAAAAAAAATGCTTTTATAAAATTGTTATAAACTTAGACATTTCGGCCAGAAATAAATGTTCGTGTTATCACTTTATAAATAGAAGTTTCATAAATAGTGTAATTTCGCATTAGATACCCTACATCTATCTAGTCTTTGCTTTTTATACTCGAATTTATACTCGCATCTCTTATTTTTGCATATATGTTTATCTCTCTGACGATATTGATAGAAGTGCTATTTTATCAATATATTTCCATTAATCGGTTAATGATGACTTTTGCTTTGAAATTTGTAAAGTTTTCCCTTCAAACTTTTTTGAATTTTAAATTGTTTTTTATTTAACAAATTTTTACTTCTAGTTTTCATAACATTTTTTTTTTTTTAATTAAACAGAAATAAATGAAAATAGAATGCAGTCAGTTTGTTGATATGAAAAACGCGGTTAGCTGCGCTGCGCTGCGCTACACTTAGCACACTAATGCACGCTTTCGCTACACTTAGCGACTGCGTTGCGCTTGGGGACTGCACTGCACATAGCGACTGCTGCGCACCTATCTTCAGCGCTGCATCTAGCGACTGAACTACAGTTAACGAAAAAAGACCAGTGCGATCTATAGGCTGAGCAAAAGAAACAAGACGGATAGACGGACAAAGGCGGTAGACAATCAGACAATTTAAGATTTAAAAAGTAATTTGTTGGCATAATAAAAGATGGATCTGTCTCAAGTCCTTCTGGATATTACATACTTCCGCACCTAATAAACTTTCTTACTACAAGTATTGCATGGCATAACAAAGAGATATTAAACAACCAATAGCTAAATTTATTATGAAGGAAAGAAAACTTACTACTAAATTCTAATCTCCAAAGTTGTGTTAGTTGTTACACTGTTACGCTTAACATTGAATGAATTAATTATCCTTTTATTGTTGCGGCTATTGACTATTTTTAGCACTGCAATGTAGAAATCATGATATACTTCAATAAAATTAAATTTTCTTTGTTGCTCTCATATATGTATTAATACTGATTTGTTTAAATCTTAAAAGAATTAATTCCCGGTTGTCGATGTCTTTTAAGTTAGTCTTTCCATGCAGCCCCTTCATTGGTAGCGGTTTACTGTTTACCGAATATTGGTTACTTACCGTGTTTTACTAATACATCAATTTCATGTTGTCAAAATGAGAAAGTATCATGTTTTTTTTCACTTTCACACAATAAGTTAGACGGTAGTGCTTCTTATGTACTCCTCCAACCGCCATTTGACTACAACTTAATTAGCTATAAAATTCACTTAAGTACGATACATACACTTTTAGCATCAACGCTATAATAATCAATAGATTTACACTATGATTATCGTGTTCCAACATTTGCACTCGCATACAAAATGTACAAAATACAGCAATTGAATGATACTACAACCTGGCACATATGCATGCATGCACTGTTGTGCATAACCGTGTTTAACCAGTAACCCGATTTCTAAGACTTCCGCCTGAAATTGGCAGACCAAAAATACCACTTGAGGTGTGTTCAGTTTATCTATTGACTTTTAAAGTCGATAATTTCTGGTTTGATAATCTAGGCAATAGCGTGATGTTAAAGTTTAAGACGAGTAAAATTAAGTGAATTAAGTTTTCGATTTTTAATTAAAAATATAATATAAAAGTGATTTCAAAAAATTCCGTCTTTAAGTGTATTGTGAGTTCGTAAATACATAAGTTAAGCAATGAATCCTTACTCATATGATTTTTATGAAATACATCGGAAGTTTATTTAAGAAAAGCCTTGTTTTTCTTTATTCTTATCTCATGCATTCACTTTTTTAATCGATCTCGTTAAGTTTTTTACCACTTGATCACTATCCCGCGGTTTTCAGATTCGTTTTCATTGCATAGTCTACCTACCAGTTCTGTAAAATTCATTTTCAGCATTGTCTAGAAACTAAACTTCATTTATTCCTAATAAATATGAAAAAATCCTGAATCAATTTAATTTGTTTCCCAATTGATGTCAGACCACCTACGATCATAAGAAATCGCTTTAGTTTCAATGCGTTTTTTGGCCTCTTCTCTCTCTCTTCATTATCATTAACTTGCTAACCTGTAAATTTTTTTTGGTTGCTGTTGAAAATACATTGAAACTAAACCAGATCTGTGTTAATAAGTTAAGAAAAAGTCTCAAAGTGTGATCACGATTTCTTGTTATAATAAAATTTTTTACTCTTACAGCTAACCCAGTAACGACACATTAGCGACAGTTGCTTTCAAAATATGTCAAGAGAACTTTGTTAGCAAGGAATATTTTTTCTTTCTTCTTATAGCGGAAATTTGTTTGAGCGTACTATCATGGGCAGGGTAAGCTATAGATATATATATATGTATATCTTATACCAATAGACCTTAATTAGGTACACAAAGCATGTTATGCTACAGAGAACTCCATAGTAAACAGTTTATTCTTAAACGATCTCTGCAAGCGCAGAAAACTAAAAGGAAAACTTTCTTCTTCTTGTGTAGATTTGCTAAAGCCACCTATTATCCCTTTAGTGGCCGTGAGTCTGTTCAAGCAAGAGCACAACAACAGAAGCAGATAATGAAGTGACTTGGGCGAGTACGAGACTTTTTACGTCGACTTAGTTTAATCAGTAAAATATGCTACCCTCCAGTTATTCTAATTTTAGATAAAGCAAGAAGAATGATTAACTATCTTTAGACATATTCCTATTAAAGAAATGAACCGAGTAAAAATATATCAAAAAGTAGACATTTCACCTTGAATAAATATTGAATTGTCGTTCTTCTACGAAACAGAAAAAAAAAAACTTTTCCCAGCTTTGCAAGTTTGTTGATAATATGCGAACAATACCTACTTTATCTGAAGGAAAAGCTTAATATTTTTTATAATGTGAAGAGAAATAAACATAATGAAATAATGAATAATGCTGAAGTCGTTGTCTTTATGGTCTGCTGGTTGGTAAAAATGGCGATATTTGTGAACTGTACTATCATCTATTCATTAATAGCGCTGATGTCTCGAAATTCACTTCATATTTAATTAGGTAAGTGTTCACTTTCGTGAATTTAAAGGCCAAAGCTTCAAGAATTTTTTTTCGTTTTCCTTAAAACGCCAAAATTTGCCATTCAACCAAAAATAAGCCCGCAGAATGCGGGAACAGTACCTTAACTATTTCTGGACAGTTCTCTGTTATGATATATCCAACAATACTGAACACAAATGTTCACTTTGGTGTGGTAACATACGATCTTCTTTTTTCTTTTTGGTAAGACACTCAGTACAGGTAGATCGTGAGGAAGGATTATGGGTAGAGAAGGACTAAAGGAGGAAATACTATTTGTGTACGTTCGAGTCGGAACCAAAAACTTCTGCAGCGGTTGACTGAGACACAGTATAAGAGTTGTAGGATTTCATTTGGTATAATATTCCGAGATAACCTAGTTCTCGCCGCGCGGAAAGTATTTGCGAATTTATCTTTGCCGTAACAAATAAAAGAAAAGTTTATTAAATTTTCTTGATGTAGTGCATAACGATAATGAGCCCCTAAGCGACTTGGTGCTCATCAAAGTCAATTTTATTTTCGATCGTTTGCTATAAATATACTAAATGAATTATTTACATGCAAATAAAATTTGCGAAAATTTAAATAAATTAACGACAATGGGACCAAAAATTATAAACATGACAAAATTAAAACACCGCATGTGTAATGATAATAACAGTTAGTTAGTACGTAAGTAATCAAATGGAAGAATGGCACAAAATACAAAAACAAAGTAAGATTATAATCTAATATATGTATATATATGTTATATAAGTTATATAGCGTAAATAGCTACCAACGAGGATCATATAATTCTATTTAAATCTAACTAAAACTAAAAATTATAATTTAATAATAAATTTAAGTACATTTTATAAATTTAAGCGAATTAATTATACTTTGCTCTTTCAATTTAGTTTTTCACATTCAACTGTTCCTGTAATTTACGTATCTCATCACGTCTTGATTGCAAGATAATTTTCGCATTTTCATATTTCTGTTGAATTATGTTTAATTCCTTGTTTAAAACCTCATTTTGATTCTAAAATATGGAAAAAAATGTGACGAAAATTCATTGTTCATTTTAATGGCGCGCTATTTCACAATTTCTTACCTTTAATGACTTTATTTGACCAACTTCTAAAGCGGATAGCGAATTGCCCTCGGTGTTCTCTTTCTGCGCCATTTTCTCTTCCAAATCTTTAATAGTTTTATAACGAAAACGACAGATCTTTTTCAAATCATTGTTTTTGCCTTGCAACGATTGAATCATATCGTTTAAATCTCCATCAGTTTGCACCTCTGCATTTATCAATTCCGCGTTCAGGATGACGGCAGGTTTTATTGATGCTGCTGCTGCTGAGACCTCTTCATCATTATCAGCAACAGTCTTTTGTAATTGTTGTAATTGTTCCAATTGCGTTTTACTCGTTGCCCAAGCATTCATAGCTTTTTCAGCCTTTGTAGTCTGTTCATGTAACTTTTGTTTGTAGCGTTTCATATCGATGCGATATTTTTCCTGTTCCGCCAGTATACGTTTCGTTAAGCTGGCGTTTTCAGATATTAAAGGATGGTTTTTCAATTCTAGGTTAAGAGCGGTAACTTGACATTGACGAATATATAAATTACGTTGACAATCTCGAAGTTTTTGATCCAGTTCCTCACAATTGCACTTTGTATCTGGAAATGAGCGCAGAGTAATCAAAATATTTTTATATAATTGTAATTGTCTTTTATGCTTACCTGCAGGAATTGTCATAGTTTCTTTATCGTGCATAGCACCCCAATAAGATTGACGTCGGCGTTCATCGTGAACACTGGAACGTCGATTTTTTCTTTCAATTATTTTGTTTTTATGTTCGGCATTATCTACGGAAACGTTTAACTTAGATTGACGCACATTTTGATCGGGACTAAGATTGCCTTCAAAGCTGTGTCGACTACTGCGCGGCGAATGTGAAAGATTGGAATCTATCGAGGAATTGCTATCGTGAGTCGGCTTTCCTATTTCCTCTTTAAGGGTTTTAACAACGATTTGCTTTATATGCGCCTCTAATTTCCTTTTTTCATTTTCTAATGCAACGATTTCGGAATTAAGCTTCTCCTTCTCGTGCAATTCCTTAGTCGACAAATCGTGACGCAAATTATTATAACTTTTCGATTGATTTTCCAGCAATTCCTTGTAATGTTGCACCTCGTCACGCAAAGCCTTAGTGCATCGATCTGATTCTTTAGCCGCTGCTTCCATTTTATCCTGCAATTCTTTATACTGCAGCTGAAGTGCTGCAAAATCTTTTTCCAAACGGAAACGTTCAGGCACGTTGGCCAGTGTTTGCTTCAATTGGTCGTTCGTTTGATGCAATTGTTCGTTAGATTCACGTAAGCTATCACATTTGATTGAGACTTCTTTCATAGATGCCTTGCATTCATTAACCAATTTTTCCAAATCGCTTTTCTGCGATTCCAAAATTTCTTTTGTCTGGCTAAGTGCTGTAATGTTTTCAAGCAGCTCTTCATTTTCCTGTTTTAAATTCTTCAATTCGATTTCTCTAAACTTTTCCAGTTGTTGAGTGACAGTAGAAACTTTTTCTTGCTGAAGATTATACGCCTGATTCAAATGATCGCAGTTTTCTTGTAATTTTTTCATTTGATTCTCCTTTTCCTCAATTAATTTTTCAAAATTCGTCTTTCCTAAGAGGTTTTCTTGCTGAAGTGTCTGTACTTGCTTCTCTGAAGCGTTTTTCTTTTCTTCCAATTCTTTCAAGCTTACCTCTAAAGCACATATTTTTCCCTTCATATCTTCTAATTGCTTGAGCTTCTCTGCAAGATTCGATTTCTCTTCATTAAGTAATTGAATTTGTTTATGAAGACGATCTATCTCTACTTGTTGTTTGTTTTCTCGATCTTTTAGTTCCTTGCACGAGGCAGTAAGCAAATTGTGCTCTTCCTTTAGATTTTGATGTTGCATTTCCAAAACACTTCTATCTTTAATTTCTTGCAAAAAACGTTTCTCTACATTCAGCTTTTCTTCTTGAAGCAAAGCCACTTGTTTTTCCGTATTATCTTTCTGTTTTAAAGACTCAGCTTCCAGTCGCTTATGTTGTTCTTCTAGTGCTGCCTTTTGCACTTTTATATCTGCCAACTGAGCTAGTTTTTCTTCCAAATTTTTCTTCTCTCCCTTAAGTAAATCGATTTCTTCCTTTAGTAAGTTGCAAGATTTTTGACTTAACTCATTGAGTTGCTCATCCCGTTTTAAATGCTGGGCTTTTAGCATTTTATTTTCATTGTCAAGGGTTTTTATTGTTTTAAGATTTTCGTTTTCATTCTCTCTGAGCTCTTCGGCCGCTCGAGTTAGGGCGGAAATTTGTTCTTGTTTATGAATAAATTCTTGGGTTAAATTATCACAGGTTTGTTGCAATTGCTTGATTTGTTGCATTTTTTCCTCAATGCCTTGAGAGAGTCTTTGTTCCGCGGCCAGGTTTTCTTGGTGCAAGATATTGTTTTGCCTTTCTAAAGCGTCTTTCTCTTCTAAAGACTTCACTTCGAATTTCTTAAATTGCTCTGCTAATAACGTCATCTGAGCAAGTTTTTCATTCATATTTCTATTTTCTTCCGTGATGAGGTCCATTTTCTCATTGAAAATTTTTTGCTGTCTACTTTCACGATCTTCTGTTTCCGTCAGCCTCTTCTCAAGCTTCTCATTCTCTTGCTTTTTTCTCTGCAGCTCTAACTCCACCTCATGTTTTTCGTTTTTACAAGCAGTTAAAGCCTCGAGCGGTACATGAGATTGTGCAAAATTAACTTGTATGTCGTTTAGCTTATTTTGCAAGTCTTGTATAATTTCTTCTCTGGCTGCGTCCTCTTTACAGAACTCAGAAACCTGTTGTTCAGCATTCTGCAACTTAAATACTAACTGACTACGTTCTAACAGCAATTGCTCATTATTGATTTCCAAATCTCGTAATTTATGATTTGAAACTTTTACAGCTTCTGTTTCTTTTGTTAGAGATAAAAGTTTCGCACGCAGCTCTTCGCAATCTGCAAGGATTTTGTTTTGCTCGTCAGTCAAATTCTGATTTTCTTGACGCAATTCCTGCTCTTTTCCGAGATGGTAGTTTAATTTCTTTTCCATTAGTTGTTGTTGGTCCACAGAATTTTTGATTTTTTCGCTCAACTCTTGTATTTCGGTCTCATATTCTTTGCACTGGCGTTCTTTATCAATTATTTCTTTTTCCAAAAGTTGCATCTTATGTTCATTGCTCTCCCGTTTTTCTGTGAAAATTTCTCGACCTTGTGATGTTTTTTCCAAACTCTCTTCATTCTCAGTTCTCGGCGAGTTTTTAATAAGCTCTGTCTTACATTGAATGGTTTCATCGGTGTCTGCTGCTTCAAGGCTTTCACGCTCTTTCAACTGCTGCTGTACTACATGTGCCTCATTCCGGCCCACCAAGTTTTTATGATAACTTTCATCGCTTAATTCCCCTTTTTGTAGATTATTTAACTCCAAGTTAATGATTTGATCTTTATGTTCTTGCGCCTGTTGCTCTAACTCCTTTTGCAATTCCAAATAACGTTGCGTTAGATCTTTGATAACTTCTTGCATTTGCCGTTGTGTCGTTTGCCAAATTTTGCAGTCCTTACATTCTTCACAATTGAGGCCATTCATGTTCTTGGCTGTAGGAGTGTTGTTGAAAGTGCTATGTTTAAGCATATCCTCCTTATCTTTCTCGAGATCAGAAATTTTTTTCTGATAACTTTCGCAGGCACATTTCTCAACCACTATGGACTTTTCCAAAAGCTCCCCATTAAGACGTATTATTTGCTCTTTCATTTCGTTTAACGCACGTTCGGTATTCTCTAGCAAAGATTTATTAGCTATCCGTTCTTTATTAATCTGATCTTGCAACGATTCAATCTTGTGTTGATACTCATTTAACGAATCAGTGATAGTTTCCGAGTTATTAAGAGTATTTTCAAGGTCATCTGATTTCAATTCCTCAATTTGGAAATTAAGATGGTGTAAAGTACCTTCAAGTGTTGCAATATCGTTTTGCTGATCGGTGATAAATTGTATCTCATTTTTGATGTCGCTTAAACGGAGCTTATAAACATGAGATTTGATATCGCTATCTATCGCTTGGAATATTTTAGCATTGCCTTCACTCAATTTTAATTCAATTTTGCCAAGGGAAGATGATAACTCTATAAATTTGTTAAGTAATAGTTTTTGAGTCTCGTCTTTCTCCATGCACTCCTCTTCGTCTTCTACGCCGACACCTGAACTACGGAGAGAACTATTATTGGAGGCTAAAATTGGATAATTCATTAACTGCTTTTCAGGTAAAAAGCTTAAACGCTCCAATTCAGCCTTCAATTCGACAATTTCCAATTCCTTATTAGATAAATATGAGTTTTTATCTTTCAGAATTTTTAATTCGTCAATCAATTTTGTGTTTTCCGCTCTCAATGATTCATTCTCCTGCAAATTGTCCATCAATTGACTGGACAGATCATCGTATTCTTTTTGCAAATCTTCAAATTGAATTTGTAACTCGTTCAATTGCATTTTTAGTTTCGAATTCTCATTTTGAGTATCGTTACCAATTTCGGGTCTCTCTAGCAATTTCAGCTCTGCCTCTTTTAGCAACTGCTTTAAATCATTAATGTCGCTTTGCAACGTTTCATTTTGACTTTGAAGGCGTTCTCGATCAGCCAAGTATTTTTCCGAAGAAATTTCCAAACGTTCGTATTCATTTTGTAAATGCAAATATTTGCTTTGCACTGTATCATACTGAGTTTGTATATCATTCAATGACTGCTGTTGTTCCTGCCAAGAGTTTTCCAATTTCTGATATTTGTCTTGTAACATTTTCATCTCCGAAGCGTTATATTCGAGTTTTTCATTTAATGACTGTTCGTCGGCTGCACTCTCTTTTGTCAATTTCTCGTACGCTTCTTGAATTGTTTGTAATTTCTCTTTTAATGTTTGTATATCTTCCTGCAAATATTCTTTGTTTTTCGCTTGATCTTCAACTACCGCGTTGATGTTTCTTTCATTCCGTTGCAGCGCTTCCGTGTAATTCAATTCCAACTTCTCATATTGTAATTTAAGTTTTTCAAGATCATGTGAAACTTTTTCATTTTCCGCTAGCATTTCTTGCAAGTCTTCGCATTTAATGCAAATTTTGCCATCAGTTTTGGAGTTTTCTTTTACCGATATTTGCATCGATTCTTTAGTATTTTGGAATTTCTCTGCGCTTATCGATTTCAATGATTTCTCTAATTTAAGTATTGCGTTATCTTTTTCCGTAATAAATTCCAATAATTCTGTTTCACGTAATTTGGACTTATTTTTAAGACGTTGCAGTTCAAAATCCAAATTAACCGCATTCCGATTTTCCATTTCAAGTTGCTGCAACTTTGACTTCAGAGCCGATAAATCATTTTCATATTTATCTATCGTCGCACGAGCAGTTTTATCAGCAGCAATTAATTGATCCACTTGCTTTTGAAGATCATCACAGCTGTAAGATATAAAAAAAAAAATTAATAATTAATTATTACTCCATTTACTCCAATGGCATACAAGTATTCATTCTTCATCTACAAATATGTCATAGTGCTGGGGTTAAAACGAAAAGACACTCTACATTTTTTTAAATACCCGCGCTATGATATTGATGTGTACACTTTTTGTTAGGTTAGTGTGACTGTTGTGAATAGCTGACATAAATTTCGAAATACATGCCTGGATGGGTACAATCTTGTTGCCAGCGATTTTTTTCTAGTTCACGTGTAGAACAACATTCACTAGACTATTGAGCTATTTCCTCCTCCTATATATTCATCTTCAGTAATTATGCATTTTAGATCATTATCACTCATAGGTAGCATTTTTATTCACACTTGGACATGAGAGGTTGGTTTTCAAAAGAATTCGAAACTTTTAGAACAAACCGAAAAGACACGCGAAACATGCCCATATCATCCTTCAAAATTAGTCGTATTGATTCAAGAGCTTGTTGATTCAAGAGCTTGTTGATTCAATCGACGATTGACAACTTGTCGACTTTGTTGACGCTTTCATGGATTGGTAGTCTTCCTGCAACATTTAAAAACTTATGGTTTTGATAGACGCTCCTCACACAGCGACCCCCCTGCAATCCTTTCAATTCATTTCATTTCATTTTTTTGACAAAATTTGATGCAAATTCTTTGTTCACCAGATTTTTCCTTTCTAAGTTTGTTGTTGTTTAAACAAAAATAAACATTACTAACCGAACAATTATCCAATTTATGTCAGCTATTCACAGCAGTCATATCAACCTATCAAAAATACATACATATTGGTACACATCGGCGCGGGTATTTTTAAAACATACACGTTTCATTACTTTTTGCCCACAGTAGCGTAAAGCGTATAAAAAACCAATGAAGAGTAACAATTATTAATACTACCGGATTGTTTTTATGGGAAGCGGTCGAGAAGCAATGGTTCGATTCGAAACATTTTCAACAGCGTTAATCATTGGGACAAAGCGGGCCAGCGTATCAGGTCTGATCAAAATGTCTCATATATTGCGACCTGTAAGTTGTACAAAAAAAGAGACGGACAGATGGACAGACTGGCTTAAACTGATTCAGAAAGCGGTATAATAAAAGGTGGATCCTTTCTAAGATCTCCTCTAGATGTTGCAGACATCTGCGGAAACCTAATATATCCCTGTACCACAAATGGCGTAGGCTACAAAAGTGTGAACGTTACAAAAAGAAAGGATTCTTCACTATTCCACAAGTCTAATCTTAAAAGATTTAGATATCTTAAACAATGATTTCAAAGAAGATGGGAACTTTTCAATAATCCGAACCTTGTGTGGTGCTTCATCCGGCTAACTTATACAAAAGTCCAGTATAAAGATGATTTCGTTGCAAAAAAAACTATTTATGCTAACTACATTTGTCTTCTAACGCAAGTTTTCTTCGGCCAGCAGGGCTTAACTATTACGAGATTTATGATCAAAACAAATAAACAAACAAACAAACGAACTGTCGCATATGCGAAATATGAGAAAATTGCATTTCTCGTTTATCCACAAAAAAAAAAAAAAACAAACAAAGAGACGGCTGAGCAAGAAAAAAGGGGGAAATTGTTGTTATTTATATATACATAAGATAAACTGTTCCGTTTCAATGAAATTCACTTCTAAAGAGCGCGTTTTATAGCATAAACACAACAGTGCACTCCAAACAAAACTAAAAAACGGAAAACAGAAAATGCTTATTACAACTTTAAAAGATCAAAAGCATGTTCTTGTTGTTTGCCTCTCATAAATGGCTATAAAGCTTGCCGCGAAAACGTCTTTTGATTTGCGGTGTAACTTTTACATATGATTAATTATTGTAAGACTCGAACATACATTACATTGATTTTTTTGCTGAAACTTATCGAGACTTAGCACCCTCTCTCAACAGAAGAAGCTCTTGCAATTCGGAATTATTTCCTTAGATGAACTTTGCTAAAATGATTACGTTTCTCAGAAGTAGCCCTTAGGCTTAAGGGAGACAGATAATAGTTTTTATTTTATCCTCAATACAAATAAGTTATTGAAAGGAAATTTAACACTGGAGAATTGCTCTAATCTAAAGTATCCGTTCGTAAATTTCCACTTGACAAATCGTCGTTATTTAAGTCAAATCTTCCATCGATTCTGTTCATAACTTAATAGCAGTTCGTAGAAATTCGTTCCAAATAAAAGATGAAGAAACACTTAAGTACTTCCTAAGTATTTTTGTGTTCAAAACTATCAGATTCGGCAAACATACACAGCAAAATAACATGCTGCCATTAATCCCGCTCTCCCATCTAACCGAGGCATTTCCAAAGATTAAAGACAGCAACTGGACTACTTTTGCTATAAATGCCATATTCGACTTGAGGCGAGAGACCAATACACTTTTCATTTCTTCCTTTTTCTTTATCTTGCATGAATCCTTAAAAATTGAAGAATGATATAAAAAAAGATAATGGAGGGTGGAAATAAAATTTTAAAAAGTCCAAAAATTTGGTTTTCCGACAATATACTCGCATAGGCGCATCAGGGGGAACTTAAATCTTTAAACGCATTTTCCTCGAAAAAAGAAAGAGCAAGCGGCATTGATCCCAGCAATTTTTTTCATATCCTTAAATAATATTCAATACTGTTTTTTAACAAATGATTGCTTTTCTTTTTTATGTCTCAAATTAATCCTTTTATTCAACTACTCGCGAGTCATACAAAAACCACTATTTTCGAAACTTCCACGTGTTTCATTTACCAAATCTAGGCATACAATTGTTGATCAGTTGCCCCCTCTTTGCCACTCCATTAAAGATGCCCGGCGAGAATGGATCCAATTTTTTTTGGATTTTTTCAAAATTAAATTTCATTTTAAAATACTTAATAACTTCACGAAAAAGGTTATTAAAATTACGATTTTTTTTTAAAACTGTTGTCCCTTTTTGCTCTTAAGATATGTTTAAAAATTTCAACACTTAAGCTATACTCCCACCTTTACTTTCAAAAATTTGTACAACTGGTCGAGTATAACACGACTTTTTTTTTGTATCCGTTTGGCAAAGAAAGAATTATGCGAGTCACTCCTTATGGTCATAAAGATTAGAGTAGAATTTTTTGCATATTACAACAATATCTTGAGACTTCTTTAAGATCAAATTTTTTAAAAGCTCTAAGATTCAGAAAGCTTCTCGTCTATTGGAATTGATATTGAAGAGGAATTTAGCCAAAACTGAAAACCATCCAAAAGTGATCAGTGTGGTAGTTCCTGTTTTTTATAATTAACAAACAAAAAATGTTTTCCAAACGTGGTTGTTAAAGATTCGCCCAATGACTTATGTACATAACTTTTAATAACGGTACTCTTTTACTATAGTCATTTTTAAGACAATCTTTTATTTGCTATTTCACTTATATATCTTTTTAATTCAGAGCACGATAATTTCCTGTTAAGCAATAAAAAAAAACTATGGTGAGCTGTGGTCCCTCAATAAATACCCTAGGGTCACTCCCCTTAATATAGTTATTAGTAAGACGACTTTTCAACGTAAGGCATTGCATGGAAAGCGATCAAAAAGCGATCACCCGATCCGAACCATTTTCAATAGTCTTCATTCTTGGGCCAAATCAGGTCGAAATACCAAACTTCATCAAGATATTTCAAAAACTGCAATCTGTAGATTCAACACCAAGACATGCAAGACGGACAGACAATCTTAAATCGATTCAAAAGCGATTCTTATACGAAAAGTATAATTAAAGAAGGGATCCATCGCAAGTCCTTCTGTTTGTTGCATATTTCCATACACACTTAATATACCCTTGTACCACAAACCGTGTAGGGTATAAAAAGCTACAAGTATGACAATAATGAATAGGTCTACATAAACTCCGCTGTAAAGTGACAATTTTTTTCAAAGAAAACCAACTTTTAAAGTTTGCTCAAATTTGGGGACAAAAGCAGGTTAATAAACATTTTGCGGCCTGTAAGCTAAAGTCAACTTTAATTTTGCAACAAATTACTCCATTTTCTTTCAATTGAATTATCTTTTCACTCTATCGTATGACAAGAGCACGGTAAAGAGCTTTAAAAGTCAAAATATAAATAAATATGAAATGCGATCGCGTAAGATTACCAACAACCGGTAGATAACTCAAATTTTATAGGGCAACAAAAACGTTTAGGTCTGTCTGGAGATTATAAGCAAGACAAAAAAGTTATTGTATTTATTCCCTAACTTCTCTCTTTCGGCAACAAAGGTATCTAGCTATCTCGACTATGTGTAAACTTTAAGACTAAGTCTTTTCTTCTTAGAGAGTAACTCTTGATTTTCTTATTAAATAAAATGAAATCAGTTTAAACAAGAGAGAATTCGTATTCGGCTTGGGATGAATTTTTTAACAAACACTACCGGGACTTGAATTGAACATCAACAATATATATATATATATATATATATATATATATACATGTACATGAAAATATACCTGTGCACGTTATTTGATTGCACAATAGAAAGATTCATTATTATGTGATATGATATACAATTTGCCGATATTCAGAATCACAAACACGTAAGTAATTTCTACATTGTAGACACCATAACAATGTTTATGTAGGACAGACCTGATTTTTACCGCCAATTCAGGCAACAGTTTCGAATTTTTTTGCAGAAGATTTAAGAAAATAAAAAAATATTTTAATTAAAACAAAACCTTTGCTTCGACTGAAGCAATTTCGCAACGTAATGTACATTGACATGATTTTGTCTCCAAATATGAACAAACATTAAAAGCTCATGTTTTATTTTTACAACATTTTTACAGTGGAATTTATATAAACACTGCGTCGCATTTCTCTAACTTACGACATATCTTTTATTACATGCGTGCCCCTTTTTATGCCCTACACCACTTGTGCTACGACTGTGTATCAGGTTTGTGCGTATATATGTAACATCCAAAATGATTTAAGATAAACTCAGCATTTTGATTTATACCTATTGATTCTGAAGCACTTTCTGCACTGATCTAAGCTTGTCTGTCGGTCTTGAATGTTTTGATGGTGATTCTACAGATCGCAGTTTATGAGATGTCTTAACGAAATTCGGTATATTGACTCGTTTTTGTCCAATAATGGATGCTATTGAAAATGGTTCAAATCGGACCACTTTTTCCACCTGTTCCTTTATAACATCTGATTTCGAAAAGGCGGTACAAGAATACTTGCAGTTTGGCTATATCTTATGAGCGGCCGGGATTCGTTATACTGTTTTCACTTGTTTAGTATCACAAATATATATATAGGAAAATTTATATATATATAATAATAGAAATATATATATATTCACATATCTGGTTTACATGCGCATTATCCGCAAGCTAAAGGAAAAAAGACCGCTCCTAAATTCCTTAAAAGTTAGCCTAAGGAGAGCATTACAAGGATTTGGCCATAAATATGCTTTAATCGTTTGATCATTTCTCTATCACACATTGACGCCATGGCATCAGTTCAAAAGCCTTCATTAACCAGTTAAATGCGTCGACTACTTCACCGGCATAATCATATACTCGTCAAATACCCATTATGCGTAATATAAAATTAGATTATAATGGAACGACTTGGGAAAAAATATTTACTAAAATACATTATTATACAAATAACATACATATAGTCACAAAATTTGATGAGAAAATCCGACAAGGACGGACAGACGAACCATGGTGTATATTTATCAGACACAGATAACTAGTTAATATTGGATGAAATCGTGAACTGATGTTGTATTCTAGCTTACGCACACTTCAAATTGTTGTTACACATCTTTCCTAGAAAAGCATTTAAGAAATCTGTTATAAACTTGGTTCGGCGTCTTACATTTGTAGGCATAAACAACCCATCAATTACCTTTTTTGCACTGCGTTACATAGATGCGCAATGCAATAAAATGGAATGAATTATAGAGAGAGCGAGAGAGAGCGATGGAGAGGGAGAGTATTCAAAATTCCTCTTGTAACGAATATAATTTACTGATGTTCTTGTTACTTTTCAATAATTTTTACAACTTTTTATTTTTTTTTTTCTTTTCAATTTTCAATGGCAACCTAATCTAATAAAATGCTCACGATTATTCTGTAGTGCACTACGTAAACCAATTGCATTGCGTGGGTCGTTTACTGCGCTTTCATTATAAAGATTTATTATAATTTTTGTTACAGCTGTTGTTTTTTATTATTATAACTGGCGTTATCTTCATTATCATGAGACGTCAAATTATTAAGCAAAAATTTCTTAAACGCTTTTCATTCCAAATCCATTTCATGCAATTTTTTTAACTTAATTTCTAGATAATTAATATGAACATATGAACTTTTTTTCACACTACAGGTACACAAACATACTTGTATTCATGTTTACTTGTGTATATATATTGATATGATAAACACTTTTCTTTCAATTTAATTCATTGACAATTGTTAACTTAACCGGCTGAGTACACATCCGCACACGAAAGCGTCTCATTTTAAACAACAATTTTTTTGTATACTCGATATATATCAACGTAGTAATAATAGGTAAAACGGACGACAACAACTAACTTTTCTGACCGACTGCCAAAACCTTAAAGACAACAAATAAATACTGCTCTCTATTTCTATTCTACTTTTTTTAATCTCTTGCTTTTGCACTTTCTCGCTCTCTCTCTCTCTCTTTGTCTCTCGTTCTCTCTCTACCTATTTACTTCTTTGCTTAAGCGCTAGCCACAAGCAATGCATTTGCATCGTGCACTCAAATGCCAAAATATGATTCGCTTGCATGGATTAATATTATAGTTAAACATATTGCATTGCATTGCTCCAGTGAAAATCGTATGAAAAAAAAATATTTCGCTTAATCCAATGCATTTATTGTACTCAATGCTTTGACACAACAAAAATTTCAGTGATTTAGAAAAACTATTCAAATCTGATTGAATGCATTTTCTAAGCGCAGTTAGAAGACCCTATCTTAATCGATATATGCAAGATATGCTATAGCACCCACTACAATAGAGATCAAATTTTTCAACTGGGCTAACATGAATGCTAGGGGGTTCACATAAAAGAGAACATATGGGAATCTGCTCTCTTTCTACTTTACGAATTTAAAAACGCTTTAATAGCATTCACGCTTTATAGTATTCACTTCGAGGAACATGCTAAATATTGTCTACATAAATTGTGTATTTTGTTTGCTCACTATATAATATATTGATCTGCAGAGGGGATAAACGCTTGGCTTTTCTTTCAAAATTTATAACCCACGAAATTAGATATGTTTTGAAATAATTTAACCCATATCTCAATCTTATTAACAAAATACAATGGAATGTCTATGCAGCACATTTCATTTCCATACGGATGAAGGCCAATTTCAATTCCATCAAAATGAAAACTGCCCCGACTGGAAACCTGCCTATGCATATATCAGACATAAACAATATATTCATTAGCAAAAACTAAATATTCAAACCACATTATAAGCGGAAGATATTCCTTAGTAGTATCTTTTGTGAAATGGTGTTAAAGAAACCGCATGCCGCAGTTGCCATCAACACCAGTAAATCTTGGTTTCAATAGAGCGACATTAAAAGCTTTTTAAGTCTCTAGGAACAATCTATTGGATTTTGATACGGTTACATACACCCAAATCTCTTTTTAAAGAATTTTGTAATAACACGTTTCGCCAATAAGAAGTAATAAACTTTTTTACATGAATTTTTATACCCGGATGGATGAATCATCATCATGATCATCAAAATGTTTGCAACAACCAGAAGGAAGCATCAGAGACCCCACAAACTATCTATATTCTCGATCAGCTTCAGATTCTGAACCGATATAAGCAAGGACAGACGGCCATTTGTTGTAAACATTCTTCTGGGCGCAAAAATGAAGCTCTAGACTTCAAATTTAACAGAAACATTGGGAGTTCTTGCACGCAGATTAATATCGAAAATGGGTAAAATCGGTCGAGGTAAACATCAACAGTGCTGCGTATAGTGAGGCCCCCCAAAAGCAATAAAAAGTTGTTTTTTGGCTCATTAATCAAACTATAGGAGGATAAGTCTACAAAAATGGATAAAATCGCTCACTTCTACTCAATTTTATAGTGTCATAATTTCATTTTTCTTTGAAAACCTTTATGATGTCTAGGAGGAGCAAACTTCAAAAATCCCATAACGCAATCTTCCACCTCGGAAAGCAAACAAGCATGTTCGTCCGTTCATTTGTCCATCTGTCCTTTCGTGCAACCGTGTCGTGTTTGTGGTAGACATTCTTCGGTTCGCAAAAATTACAAGATTGCACACTCATTCGCACTGAAATTGTAGGAAAGAGAAGCACCCATCGTATGGTGAAAATCATGTTCACACTTAAAAAATTATGGAAATGTATTCAGCAAAGATACAATTAGAGTGAAATGCATTTTCATCTATCACTACTAAGATAAAAACCCGTTTGTAAGTAAGTAAGGAGAGACCTTCCACACTTACCGCTTTTCCGATTGAGTAAGGTCGTCTCGAGTAGCAGAAAAATCATCTTTTAATTGTATATATTCCAAACGTTGATTCTCAAGAAGAGCATTACGTTCGGTTAAAGCATCGACTTTTAGTTTAAGAGCAGCATCAGGATGATATTTGAAATCGATTTTATTCTCTAAGTTAGTAAACCTTTGCAATTCCACAAAATCGCTTTCAATTTTCTCTAAGCTGATTAGGATCATGCAAAGTGATGAATAGGAAAAATTAACGAATTTAATGCATATTGATAGACGTGTGAAAAAAGCAAGATGCAAAGTGAATTTGTATGCGAATGGAAGAGAACCTTTTCTGGATTTTCAGAAACTTTACATTCAAAAAACTTACGTCAATTTCGGATTGGTGCAGAGTATTGGTGTAAGGGAATGCTCTTTACTTCTAGATCCTTGCTTGGGTGTTTTCACTAAAGATAGTTTATCAAAATCGACTAGCTCGCCCGGAATAAATTCTTCACTTATATTACACATATCGGTTTGTAGAGCTGTTGCGTCTTCTAATGTGTTCCCGACCGGAGAACTGGCTCTTAATGTTATCAAAGGTGTATGATACGAAGATATTTTTGATGATTGCATGCCGGACATAGCTGTTCGTTGATTTATTGGTATAGGCAAGGCAGACGGTGGATTATTCGTCTTCGTTGACATCGGACACCAAGTGCGCCTGCGTTTTTCTTGTTGGGCATGATTTACGTGCAAAGTATGACTAGTAATAATTTTTAATACTTCATTTTTTATGCGCATTTCCAATTCACCGACTTTAATTTGACTCTCATTTTTACGACGTTCTTCAGCCAAACGCGACTTTAAAACCGTAATTTCTTTTTCCAAACGTTTCATCGCTGTAGCATCCGAAACAATTTCGTTAACTGCAGGTTTATTTTTAATAACTTTAGCCCTCAAGGCGAAGCTATGAGAATTCATCATTACATTATCATAATTTGATTGGAATATTTTTACATTTCTTTACCTTAAAGTGGATTGGGTTTCTTCTATGGTGTTGGGCTTAATTGTGCAAATAATGGCTGTCAAGGTATTGCCACCCAATGAGTCTTGCAATATACGCGTTAGCTTTGACTCACGATAACATATGTATTTTTTATCTTCATTTTCGGATAAACGTTTGATGACGGTACTCAGAAATAAAAGGCTTTTATTGATGTGGCCGCCTTCTTTTAAACGCGCGCCACGTGCACCTGTTTGATCGGCTCTCTCCGATCCAGCCAAATCGACTAAGTTTATTATGCTTTGAGTAACAGTATCTTCCTCACTGCGATCTATTTTGCGAGATTCAATAATCTGCCGAGAAAAACACTCACATGTGTAATTAAAATAATTTTTAAGAATTTGTTTCTTTATTTTTAAACTTACAATACGAAAAATAGCATGCGACCGACTTGATCTCTCGTTCATGTTCGTTTCGCCTACAGTTCGCTCCTTGCTGCCTTGTTTTAAATAATGAAGCAAATCATTTTCACACATAATAATAATTTCTTCACAATTAACGTTAATGATGGCATTAGCCTCATCTCTAAGTATCTTCAAGTCCTGATTTTTTTTATTTAGTAAGTCATAGATTCTTTCATTGTAAATTTCTATGTATCCCACTCTGTAAAGTTTAAAAAAGAAAAAAACAAGATCAACCTAATTTTTTAAATAATTAAACAAGCTTGTCTACCGAAGCAAGAACTGTCTATCCGAATGCTGTTGGATTTCTTTAAATATTTCCTTTGCAGCCAGAACCATAACTCCTGGATTTTCTTCATCACCCATCATAGTGTAAGTTTTACCTTTTAAAGGAATCATAATTTTACGGAGAAACTTTTCCAGTCTGTCAGAAATCAAAGCACTTACCCGATGAGGTCTGTCCATAAGCAAATATAGTGCCATTGAAACCTTCAATAGCAGAGTGTACAATTGGTTTGGCCATTTTATCAAATATTATTTGATTAGTAGCATCCTGATCGAATATATGATCTAAAAAAAGAAAATTTAATTTATCTATAAATAGGCCCACTTTTACACTAATTATAATGCATTTTATGAGGTCGTTGTCTGATTTCATAAACTTTACACAAAGTCAGAAATTTCCCTTTCTGTGCATTTAGAAAAAAAATTTTTTTTCTGGAGCAAATTTCTATTTATAACAAAAACAAAGATTCTAATGAAAAGAAAATAAAATGGATGCCTAACTGTAATGCAACAATAACAATGACTGCATCTGCCAATCATCGAATCATCGAGAAAATACATAAATAAAAGAATAAACGTATAAATTTGAAATAGATGAAGTATTTTAATTTATTAATATGTTACAGGAGCAACTTACCGAAATAGTATGGCTCCGTTTGGCTATCGACTAGCTGTATGGAATTATGCACTACTCGCCAATTGCATGGCTGATTACGAATAGGACGTAGCTTGATTGCTACCATTACGGAATTTCTGCCCGACATTACAAAAACACGTTTTTTCCTTCTTAAGTAACGCAAAAAATCACAAAATCACATTAATATTTCACAATACAAAAATGACAATTCTAAGACTTTTCAAAATTTTAACCAGTTTCACAAATAAATCAAAGGGCGCTATGAATTTAACTGCAGTATGCACAGAGTAATTTAAAAAATAAGCGCTAATATTTTGTTTTTTCAAGACATCAAACGTGACAGGGCTGCCATGTTAAGCAAATTAATGAATTTACTTTGTGTCTGCATAAGCAATATTTTGATAAGATTATAAGCAAATATCAGAGTCGTCATTTTTCTTATTACATATATATTATATAAATATTTTGTTAATTTTTCAATGCAATACAGACCGAATATTAATTAACTCTACCTGTACACTTGCTTAATAAATCTAGGTCACTGTAAGAGACGTCATTTTTGCTTTCGGGTTAGAAACACGCAAGTGATGAGAACAATGTGTATCTGTGCTACCATATGACGTTAAAGAAATATCTAAACAAAAACATATGATTTTGAAACCAAGAATAAAGAAATCAATGTAAACATAAATCATAAATTTATAAAAAATAACAATAAGAAAGTTACTTTAAAATTACATAAGCGGACATTTTATTATCTAGCAACACAGCCGATAGCCTGTGTTCAATGTCTCTTTTTTTAGTCTAAGAATTCAATTCATTAGTCTAAAATTAAAATAATAAAATAATAATAATAATAATAATATCTGGACATATAAGACACAAATCTATTGGCTTAGTCCGTCTCCAACCAACAATTCAAAAAAAAAAAAAGAAAAAAAAATTACATAAGTTTTTTCATTGATTAAAGCAGATAGCAAAGAAGATTGATTAGATAAAAAATTGTTGTGTTGGAAATTGCCATTTATCATTTATTTAAATGATATAATTTAATTTATATTGATTTTGTTAACCTTTGTTATGTTATATGTTATGTAACCATTTTTAGTCTTCCGAGCAAGTAAAAGCCATATTGATTGTAATAAGGTGCATCACGCAAATCATGTCTACAAACCGATGTCTTCAGTTCAGCTCAGAAATTGTCTTCATGCATCCTGCCTTTCCTTCCAATACCATTCTTCATAAGCTGTTGTCTAGGAAGAGAGTGAATTTGGTTCCGTTTTAATTGTAAATCAAATGTAAAAATTTCTTATATTCATTAAGTTGCCGGCTTAAATACAATAAAATAAATGCTATTGATAAGCAAAAAACAAGATCACCTTATAAGAGAGAAAACCGACAAAAAAATATCGCATGACTATGATCACGATTACGCAGTCATTTAGGCAATTGATGGTAATTAAGACGCAAACTTTGCTGAGAAATGACGGGCAAAACATTGAAGTGGACAACAAGTCAATGTACGTGTGGCAAGTTTTAAATGTAAGGAGTGTATTCAGGGAATGTATAAAAATTGCAAATTATAACAATAACTCAGGACGTGTCAGCGCGCCTAGTCGAATCATTTTTACCCTGTTTTCAAATATGTCTTAGGCGAGTGTTCTAGCTTCAGCTTAAATCCTATATGCCAACATTCAGCCTTATATCTCCAGTATCAAATGAAAGACGAACAACACAAATTTGATCCGGTACATCCACTTCGTCTAACATACGCGTAACTGTTCATTATGAAATAAATAGGAAGATGAATTTTGCATATCTACAATCTTGGGCAGAAAGTTTACAAATTGAACATGTGCTTATAAATTAAACTAAAACGAGAATCGGTACATTTTTGCTCTCTCTCTCTCTCTCTCTCTCTCTCTCTGTGTGTGTCTTTCTTTACGTCAAATGTAGCTAATAGATATTTATTACCCCAAAAAGAGTTGAGTTTACGTAAAAACGAACTATATGAGCATAAATTCGATCATTTTTATCCATTAAAATTTATTAAAACAGCATTTAATTGATAGAGAGAGAGCCCAAATGTCGTTAAATTTTAACAAGCAGAGCAAAAGATTCGATCCGATTTTCCAACGGTCTATCTCGACTTTTATAGCTATGAATTTACTAATGAAGTAAAACCAGTTTTATGATCTCATTCTTGCGAGCACTGTGGGCATAATCCTTTTGGATCCAAAGGAAATTCATAGCAAAATATCTAGGACTTAAGAGAATAATAGATAATTTTGATTAGAAAATTCTGCGGACTAATTTTTCAATTCTGAACCCGCTTAATACATGTAACGGACTTTTTCTTCTCCGTAGCGCAATCAGAGATAGAGCGAGAGAAAGAGAGAGAGAGAGAAACAGGCAAAAAGTTGCATGAGAGAGCTCTTTTCTTTCAAATATCTTAAATTCTGGAGCAACACTTCGTGAACGTTTAGTCTCGGTTTTATACCCATCCGCTCCAGTTAGTTCTGCATTTCTTTTGGTTGTGTTTCTTGTTACGGAATAAATAACGTATTTTGAACAAAACACCATGAAAGTAGATATTAAAAACGTGTTGATTTGCGATGCCGTTGACGGCGCTTGTGTGGATCTTTTAAAGAAAAATGGAATTAATGTAATTTATAATAATTTCTAAAAATAAATTATTCAATCTGTTATATATGTACCGTTTTCCGTTTTTAGGTGGAATATAAATTAAAATTGCCGGCAGATGAACTTTGTAAAGAAATTAAAGTAAGTAAAATTTATTAAAAGAGAATTATATAAGAATTGACTTAAGTTTGTTTGTCAATTTCAAGAACTATGACGCAGCTATAGTACGATCGGATACTAAGATCACTGCCCAAGTTTTAGATGCCGGTAAGGGCAGCTTAAAAGTAGTAGGCCGAGCTGGAGCAGGAGTAGATAATATAGATGTGCAAGCAGCCACTAAAAATAACGTCATTGTATTAAAGTAAGTAAATTACAATTAACCCTAAAATTATAAATAAATCATTTTTATATACCCGTCCTTTACATTTTAAAGCACTCCTGGTGGAAATTCAATTTCAGCATGCGAATTAACTTGCGTCCTTATCGGCGCTTTGGCAAGACCCGTAACACCAGCTGCACAAAGTATGAAAGAGGGCCGTTGGGATAGAAAATTATACACGGGCACCGAGTTGTATGGAAAAACATTGGCCATTTTAGGTTTAGGTCGCATAGGACGGGAAGTTGGTATACGCATGAAGGCATTTGGTATGAAAGTAAGTTACACCTAATCTTATTGAGAGCCTAAGAAGTGATCATAAAATTTTTTTCTACAGATTATTGGCTATGATCCCATTACCACCGTCGAGGAAGCTAAAGCTGTGGGTATAGAAAAACTGAGTTTAGAAGAAATTTGGCCATTAGCTGATTACATTACAGTCCATACTCCTTTAATACCGGCTACTAAAGGTATAATCTTAAGAATTATCGAAAAAAGATATAAAATTTTTAATATAATGGAATAATTTTTTGAAGATTTAATATCCTCTCAAAGTTTGTCAAAATGTAAAGCCGGTGTAAAAGTAGTGAATGTGGCCCGTGGTGGCATTGTGGACGAGAAAGCTGTTTTAGAAGCTTTAGAATCGGGTCATTGCGGTGGTGCGGCCTTTGATGTTTATCAAGAAGAGCCGCCGAAATCGGATGTAGCGAAAAAACTGATCAATCACCCTAAAGTAGTAGCCACACCGCATTTGGGTGCCAGCACGACTGAGGCACAAGTTCGTGTAGCCGTTGAAGTCGCCGAACAATTTATCGCTTTAACTGGGAAATCAAAAACTTATACCACCTACCCAGGAGTTATTAATCGAGAAGCCTTAACTTTTTATCAGTGAATGGGCGTTTTTCTTACGTTGATCCATAGTAAACAAAAATTAGATTTCATATTGCTTTCGCTAACATATTCATATAAAGCCATACAAAGAATTCTTTAAATATACGTTTTCTTAATGAATTATAATAAAAACAAATTTTTGTAGCATTTACTTTTTCCCGATAAATAAAAAAGAAAAATACATGAGATACACTACATGAAGAGTTTTGTATTATTTGATTATATCAAAAATTTTAATTCTTTCTTTAATTCAAAGCATATAAGAGTTTCACAAAACTTTAAACGCATATCAGTTCAATCAATTTAATCACAATTTCTTGACATTTATGATGTAGGGCTTTATTAGTTACTAATATTATCTACATTTGAAAAATTTGAAAAGAACAATCCAAGCATTTATGTGATATAATAAACCGCAAAAACAAAAAATATGACTGCTAAGCGTAAACCAATGATAATAACAACAACCACAATAGCCGAAGTGATCAAAACCATATCAATGTCTGTCTTCAGTTACTAAGGGATAAATTGAAGCAAACGAACGAAGAAGGAACCGTAAATTTATAAGCAGTTATAAAAGCAATAAACCGGTTGATATGCTGTCTGATTTATTAAAAGAAGAAAAAGTACAAAAAATAAGTAATGTATGTTGAACTCTTCACATAACCATGCAAATAGGGAGAACGAAAGAAAAGCAAAGTAATTCAATTACGTTCTCAGATTTTGGATATTCTCCTAACCGACTTATAGCAGAGATGTTAGTAATGATGATAAAAAATGGAAGTTTTATTCTTTTTGTGTGCTCACCGTAGCAAGCTAGCCATACCGTATATACTTTTATGAATTATGATCACACGTAAAAAAATTATATTCCGATCTTTTATGCGCATATACCCCTTATCCTATGAAAGCTTGAAAGATATAGCGAAAAATATAAATTTGCGTATTCGAAAATATTGGGTGGGCATGGCGGATTTTTGATATTCTTGTAAAATAATTTTGTGGAAATTTATATTGTGTAGTTTATGAGCAACAAGCAAAAGATATAGAAAGCAAAGGTGCCTCCAGTTTCGGTTGTATAGGCAGGTCGGCTTTGTAAACCTGGCCACTTTCAAACTCTTTTCCACATTTTTGGAAGACGAACAGCTGCGTATGCTTAGGTGCTTTCCCAACTTGAAATTGGCTAAGAACCTGTATACATTATGGAACTTTAGAAGGTTGCTTCGGAAAAACAAAAATTAGCTGTAATATTGGGTAGGCGTGGTCCCATTTTTGTAGATATAACAGATACTGCAGCATCGCCCATATCTTTGTAGATTTATTTGCTGTAGTTTATGAGTAAAGCGCAAAAAAACCATAGGCATATCCTTCGACCGTTTTAATCCATTTTCAATACCCATCTGCCAAATATAAAATCGATAACTTCCTTTTTGGCGGCTAGGAGAATGTTTGCAACAGACAATACGCAGACGGATTCAGAATTTGATGCTGATCAAGAATATATATTCATACTTCATGTAGTCTCTGAAACTTTCTTCTGAGTGCTGCAAAAATTTTGATGGAGGTATAAAAACTGCACAAGAAAAACGATAATAACTTTATAATTTTCATGTCTAAAGTCATCATTTGCGACGCGTTTTGATTCGATATGTCAAGCCTAAAAACAAATATCGGGTATTGCATAATGTAAAATTGGCAATAAAGCTCTGTCGTATTTAAAGCAAAAGATTTAAATTTTGTAAATGTTTGATGTGTTTCGCAGCAGTTGAGTAGTGGATACCGAATTTCTTTTTAATTACTCTAGTAGTTAAATGTGGGCTGTTCTCCAAATAAATTCACAATGTGTCATTATCGGTCTCGAATCGACGGTCTTCCTTGCGGCTCTAATCCACGAAACGAAATTTGGCAGAGCATCTTCGTCAGGTGCGGACATTTACAAACATCTCTTCCCTACGTGCCACATAAGTTTTTACAAGCAACAGATGCGTTCCTTCCTGCTGGAGCTCGTATCAGATGCAATGTCTTAAATTCGCTCTGCATTTCGCAACTAACTGATAAAGAGAATTGAAAGTGTTACGTCCTACATACGATAGAGAGATACGATAAATGGTTTGACTTGTCAAGTAAAATTATTTTTAGTTAAAATATGACAGACCCTATCCAATAAATAAAGTTTTCTTAGAACCAAAAGCGCAAACGTGCACGGGCAACTTGGATTATTCCTGAAGATAAAATTTCCCGCATTAAAGATACGTATGCTGTTTATTGCTGAAATCATTATATACCTATGGTATTTCTCCTAAGAGATATCAATTTGATCACTTTATTTTGTGCAATTGATTTGGTACATATATTTACCATTTTGATCTCATGTTTATATTTTATCAATAGTATGTGCTTTAAATAAAAGCAAGCAAAAGTATTAAGAGAGCAAGTAATTTTATATGTAGTATGCAATAAAAAAATATTCCAGTTTGAATACATTTTGTCATTGCTTGATTACGAAAAGAAGTAGCATGCGATATATTCAAGTTAACGTGCGATATAATTGAGAGGTACAAGCGTTTTTCTCTGATATGAAGCTTTGCTTAGAGTTGATAAGGTTAGTCGAAACTTGCTAGTTTTCAATATTTTTCATTCAGTTCAATTTTATAAATCTAACGGATCAGTTTTCTTATTTCATTTTTCTACTTTTAAATAAAATTTTCATTTATTAAAGCAAAGAATGCCTGTTAATATTAGGAACGTATTGATTTGCGATGCTGTTGATAACGCATGTGTGGTCCTTTTGAAAAATAATGGAATCAATGTAAAATTTAAAACATGCACGAAACAACCATTTTAATAACTACTTACTTACTATTTAGGTTGGATACAAATTGAAATTGCCCGTTGAAGAGCTTTGCAAAGAGGTTAAGGTAATTATTAAGAAGCAATTCCTCGTAGTGTGCAAACACGTGCTTCCGAATTGAAGATCTGCTGAAATTGATTGTAAAAGTGTGCGCGAGTATTTTTTTTAAATTTTCTTTTATTCGTATTCAAATTTAGAATTATGATGCTGTCATTGTGCGCTCGGATACAAAAATTACCGCTCAGGTTTTGGAAGCTGGTAAAGGCAGCCTCAAGGCGATAGGACGCGCTGGAGCGGGTGTAGATAATATAGATGTAGCAGCAGCAACTAAAAATAATGTGATTGTTTTGAAGTAAGTAAAAGATGATAACAATGTAGACAATGAATAACGAATAATTTATTCAGCTCGTATAAGGCATAGATTCTATATTGTATATATTGACATTGTAATTGGCAGCAAAAAAGATTATCTTTACCATTAGGCTCAATATTTTTTTTTTTATATCATTTTATAACAGCACACCCGGTGGCAATTCCATATCAGCCTGTGAGCTAACATGCATTCTAATTGGAAACCTTGCCCGTCCAGTAGTGCACGCTGCTCAGAGCATGAAAGAGGGCCGCTGGGATCGCAAATTATACACTGGCAATGAATTATATGGTAAAACTTTGGCTATCTTGGGTTTAGGACGCATCGGACGTGAAGTTGGTATACGCATGAAAGCCTGGGGTATGAGGGTAAGCTATACAATGTATTAAAAAAGAGAAATTAAAAAAATTTACATAAACTTTTTAAATTTTGAGGTAATCGGTTACGATCCCATTCTTAGTAAAGAAGAGGCCTTAGCGGTGGGTATCGAGAAAATGTCCTTAGATGATTTGTGGCCTTTGGCTGACTTTATTACTGTGCATACTCCTCTTATACCGGCTACAAAAAGTAAATAGATTTTTTTTCTTTTAAATTTATTAGAATTCAGAAAATTAAAAAATTCTTCTCTTAATCTTTTAGATCTGATTTCTTTCGAGACTTTATCAAAATGTAAAAAAGGTGTTAAGATAATAAATGTAGCGCGTGGTGGTATCATTAATGAGCAGGCTATTCTGGAAGCTCTAGAAACGGGTCAATGCGATGGTGCCGCTTTTGACGTGTACACTGAGGAACCGCCCAAATCGGATATACTTAAAAAACTTATCAGTCATCCCAAAATTGTGCCTACACCTCATTTGGGTGCTAGCACTAGCGAAGCACAAGTGCGAGTAGCCGTTGAAGTAGCTGAGCAGTTCATTGCATTGACTGGGAAATCGAAAACTTACACTACTTACCTAGGTGTTATCAATCGGGAAGTGTTGGCGCATTATCAGTAAACTGATAGGCTTGCGTGGGCTGGCCAAACGTAAAAATCTCACAAATAGATTCAATCACTAAGTCACTAAGTAACACGTTTTTTTTTTTTCTTTCAAATACATTCACGCTAAGGTTGTAGAAATAAGTCTCTTAGTTTCATTCTTCTCAAAAGTTATCAGTTCATTGCGGTGCGAATTTATATACGTAAAGCACGCGATGAATATTTTAGCAAATCTCTTATCAACGTGAAAGCAAAAAAATTATGAATATAAATATGACATAAGATTAGTGATCGCTCACGTTTTCAGACAATGATATTCGATAATTTCGACTTCCTAAGAAGAATCGTATGAGCAATTAATCTCATTTTCAAAATAAGTCATCATTAATATATAAATGAAATTGGTGCACAGCGTTCCATTAATCCATTGGAACTATACTTAACCAACACTATGTTTGACTTCTGACCTATCAAAAATAATTATTACTTTAATAGCTTTTCCTCGGTCTTTCCAGCCTTTCTCTCTCTCTGACTTCCTTCATTAAACACTACAATACCTTCCTTTAAAAAGTACCGACCTTAACCCATTTTGTGAATGCATTCTTAAAACAAGTGGGTAGTTATAATTGGGAAAGGCCGATTTTTAAATACCTTACACCTCTTTGCCTCATACAAGTCTCAATTTAGTTTCATCATAATATATCGGAAGTTACATCTCTGGTTTTATACATATTTCTTCTTTGGACCCGACGTCATATGAAATATTAGACGTTGTTGCAATACAAACGCTTACTTTTGATGGGAGAGCGCTATACTTACGTGGTGCAAATTTGAGCACTTAATTTTTATGTCAAGTTGCTATTGTGAGCCAATTTTATTTACATTATCTTACAAACTATACCTTTTAGTCATATAGGAACCCTTTCATGGGGTAAAGCCCAAAAAATGTACCTACGTAGTTTAAGTTTGATCACTTCATTTTTATACCCACCACTGTAAGACGGGGATGTACCCCGTTTTTCTCCATAATGTATGTAACACCAAAAAGGAAGCTTCAGAGACCCTATAAAGTATATATATATATTCTTGATCAGAGTGAAATTCTGGGTTAACTTAGCCATATCTGCCCGTCTGGCTATCTGTGCGTCTGTCTGTGGTGTGTGTTGCTGGCATTCTTGTGGTCGCAAAAATGAAGATATCAACTTCAACAGAAACATTGGAAATTTCTGCACGCAGGTTGGTATTGAAAATTGGTCAAATCGGTGCGAGCGGAAACGCGCATTGGACCGTAAACCGAACGCAACTTAAGAAAAATTTTGTGGGTGTTTCCTTGTTACTCGGTATTTATGACAGTTAGAAGATTAAAATTTTCAACATTTACTTTACGAAGCCCTCTACATGCAAAAACTAAAGTATCCGCCACGCCCACACACAGTTTCAAGTGATTGTATATTGTTTTTTTTTTATTTTTTCGAAATTTTATGCTTATTTATCATAAGGCTAACAAGCCCGAATGTTTAAAACTATTTCGTCCACTTCTTAAATGAAGATATATTATCTGCCTAATAATGAGTCAATTATAAAATGAATATGGTAGACACCGGGATTACTTATTTCTTAATAACACTAACAATATGAGCATCAAATAAAAGAACTTGGAGAGTAGAATGTGAAAAGCATAGTGGTGGATATACGAGGTCCGGTCTCCGCCGAATATAACTTATTTACTATGTCTAAATGCGATTATGGACCAATTTTCATCATAAAATATTAGAAGTAAGACCTTTTAATTATGCAAGGGCTTACTTTTTATGAGAGCTAGATTATAGTAAGAAATTAATGAAGAAAAACGTTGTAGAAATTTCGGAAGAAGCAATTGGCTAGAAGTTGGATAAACCTTAAAGTTGTGAAAGAAGAACAAGAATGTGTGGAAAGTGAGGTCATAAAGAGGAAAGAAAACATTAAGTGAATACAAAAAACATAATCACAAAATATAATAAAACGGTAAAATCGGTCATGTCCATCAGCGCTAAGCCCCTTTCAGTTGGTTTATTCGACATAAATAGTTTTGAAAGGAAGCACTCGTACCCGGATAGATTGATCACTACAATTTTGTTTCTTAAGAGGATCCCGATTTTCTTATCAGTAGCCGTTGAATACATTTCAATATTTTCATCTATTCGATCTTGAGCTTTGTTTGCGAGATATAAAAATTGATTCAAATCGTTTGCATCGTAAAAATCATAGAGCTCACGAAAGTATGACGAAAGAAAATAAAAACTTTAAATATGCTGAATGGTAGGTTGCACAGTTTGAAGTCCGCAGTGTAATTCAGCGCAATGCTGCTTACTCTTAAAGAAATATGAATGATTATTTCCGGATACTATCTACACAAAGTACATAAGCGATGTTTGTTTAGTTCTTTAGTTTCTCTTTCCTTATCAATTGTTGTCAGACAACTGGAAGGGTGCTAATGTCAGATCGCAGAATGCTTATAAAAACAAGATGAAGCAAGCAGCGATCAGCATTTGTGAATTAAATATTAATTCCATGCTATTAATGAAAGTGTAAACAGAATTTTATTTTATTTCAATTCTACATGAAATTTATATCCTTCACGTTGTTTTTTATTTCTTCATGAAGAAAGTACAAATGACTCATAAAAAATAGGTTTTCTTCATAGGAAGTGAGTGATTCTGTTAATTTTTGTAAATTGAAATGTTAACGAAATGCAATGCAATGCATGGAATGATGTTTATGTATTTGTTCGAATTAATGAATATGTGAAGGCAGGAGAGCGAAAAAAGTTGAGAGAGTTTTACGAACAGTTGGGAGAATGCTATAAGCTATTGCACGTCGCACTTAGAAATTGCATAAAGAGCCGTGTTCTTGGCAAGTATTGCCTGTCTCCGAATTGTGGTCTCAACAAGGCAACACAGAGTATGAAAACATTTACTAATTAAGAACGAAGCTTCTTAGAAAGTGATTGTAAAAAACTCTATCATAGAGTCGCTTGACTAAGTACCGGTCATTTACGCTGGCGATCGCCATTATAATATGGTCATAATTACTCGAAAATCTATATGAGTGCTCAAGATCCATCTCATAACAACTTGTTTTTTGCTTATGCGTTTGCTTGTGTAATTTTTCATGTTTACATTATTACATGCACTTGTACTTGCGTTACGTAAATAAATAGATCAGACCTTAATGACATACTTAATATAATAATCACGAGCCTGATAGTAAAATTGCTAGCTGTGGCAAACGAAGAGGCACGCATTCAATTATTTACTGACAATAAATGAGTGGAACTAATGCGAGTTACAAATGCGCTTATTTACGTATGTAAGCCATACAGTTATTATTACGCATTACGTTATGTTTATTTATAAAAATAAACAGAAGTCTTTCATTCAAAAGTAAAAAACAATTTTCTTTTTTTTTTAATTTGTTTATGAGAACTTTTAATGTGTCGTTAATTAAATTGAAAACTATGGCGTAAAAATTGAAATGACAACAAGTACGAACAAGAAGAATTTTTTAGTCGATCAAAGCGAGCCACTCGATACCCTACATCACTTTGCCTAATACAGTCAGTCACTCATTTTCTTAATAGTACACCAAAAATTATACATTATTTTTATGTAATTGCATAACTTTCATAGAAGTCGTCCTCTTATTGGAGAATATTTAAAATGCCAACTGACGTGGTTCAAACTTAGGAAACTTAATATACTTGTCAAAGATCTTATGACTTTCTAATTGCTTCCAACAAAATAAATCATAAATTAGACTTCGTCGCCTTAGAAGGAATTGCTTTCATGAGAGCTCCTATGTATAGCGGTCCATGTGATCCAAATTCCCTATATAGAATTTACTAAGGACCAATTTTCATTGTAGAATATTAAAAACTACAGCGTTTTGGCATATAAATGCTTATTGTTCATTTGAATCCCTACTTGGGTTGCGGTCCAAAATCGCGTCTGCGTGGTCCAAATCCCGCAAAGTGAATTTTTAAGTCAAATTATTATTACGAACAAATTTTCATCAAGAAGCATTGAAAACTAGGCCTTTTCATCATATGATGATATATGAAGATTCGCTTTCCTTATGGTACAGTTATGTAGCTAGCGGTTGCAAAAATTACTCCGTCTGATCCATAGTTTTCACACCAATTTATAATGCTGAAATATCATTTCTAGGTGATTTTGATCACGAAATTCCGAAAATTATATTCTGTGTGTGGAATGATCGAGAAAGTGGATCAGTCCGAACTATTTTCAGTAGCCTTCGTCCTTGGATCAAAAAGTACGTCAGTGGAGCCGATTTTGTCAAAATATCTCGAAAATTGCCAGCTTTGAGTTGAACACAAAAATACATGGACCGACCGGCAAACAGAAACAGAATAATTTTCTGAATTTTCTGATCAGTATAATAAAAGTTGCATCTATCTCAGGTCCTCGTTTTCACATAGGATATGATGGGACTTTTCATATGCCCCTTGGTAAAATCTCTACGAATTGTTATACCCACGTTTTTCAGGTGATATCTAAGAGAATTATGATGCCTGCAAAAGCTGGTGACCAAACGTAGGTCGCTCTTTCTTTTTAGCAGCTTATGTACTGTACTGAAAGATTTTCTTAATCTGTTACTTCCAAAGATCATACGATTTTTCCTGTGCCCATTGCGATACCAGCTTCTTAATATGGCCTCTTGATACGGCACAAAAACTTTCCTGACCTGTCCTGGCCCTCGGGCTCTTTTATTAGCTAGACAGTCAGCCCCAAAAAGCTTACTTTGGTAAATCACAGCTACGCCTGCGCTTCTAAACATAACGTACGAAGGCGTTCTACTCGCGCGGGTGGACATCTCAAGTAATTTGCAATTTATTATTCAACTTAATAGATGCCTTATGTAAGAGAGAATTCCTCGAATAAAGTTATACGGGTTAATAAATAAAAAATTTCCCACTAATGCAATTCTTCACTTATTTTTGTTAAACTACGTTGGTATATAAACCGCTTACGTTTGGTGAAAATCTTTGTACAGATGGAAAGCAAGAAATAGGCCTTCGTGATCCCCATCTCTATGTCCAGTTACTATTACGGACTAATTTTCATCAAAAAATAATAAAAGTTAGA